AGAGTGAGGGAGTCAGAGAACGCTTCTTGGAAAAGGTCCCACCTGAGTTGAGTCTTAAGCAGCAGTCTCCCCACTGGTACGCAAACCTTGGGCATGAGGGTGACCTGGGAGACCATCCACTTCAGGCACTGCTTCCGTGCGTGCTCTTTCCCAAACGGACCTGCCTGGACAGACCGAGGACAGGCCCATGAGCTCCTTCGCCCTCCCTCTGCACAATCACCCCATCCCACCGTCCAAAGACCTACCTGTCCCCACTGGAGTCTCACTGCAGTGCATGATCCCGCCGCAAGAACTTCGGAGCAAGATGAAAGGAAGCGGGGAAGGCAGAACAAAGCAAAGAATTTCAGCAAGAGATACTGAGGGATACAGAGCCCGTTTCATCCGGTTCCCAGCAGACCTCTGAGCACCGTCCATCTCAGAAGAGTGGATTGAGTCCATCGCAGGGATGGACACTAACAAGTTTATTTGATTAAAAATAAACGCATTGTCCGGCCCGTGTGACTCAGTGGTTGAGCATTGACCCTGCACCAAGAGGTCGCGGTTTGATTCCCAGTCAGGGCACATGCCCAGGTTGTGGGCCAGATCCCCAGTGTGTGTGGGGCATGTAGGAGGCAGCCAGTCGATGTTCTCTCTCATCGATGTTTCTATCTCTCTCTCCCTTTCACTTCCTCTCTCTCTAAAATCAATAAAGGAAAAATAAAAATAAATGCATCACCCATACACAAAAATCAACAAAAAGTCAACCACGGGCCTAAATGAAAGAGCCCAAAGCATAAAAGTCTTAGACGAAAACACAGGAGTAAACATTCTCAACCTTTGGATAGTAACAAGTTGGACTTCATCAAAATTTTAAATTTTGTGCTTCATAAGACACCATTAAGAAAATATTTGTAGCCTGACTGGTGTGGCTCAGTGGCTGAGTGTCGACCCTGCACCAAGAGGTGGCTGGTTCGATTCCCGGTCAGGGCACGTGCTCAGGGTGTGGGCCAGATCCCCAGTGAGGGACATGCAGGAGGCGGCCAATCGATGTTCTCCCTCATTGATGTTTCTATCTCTCTCTCCCTCCCTCTCCTTTCCTCTCTCTAAAATCAATAAAAAAAAATTTTTTTTCTTTTTCCTTTTTTTTATCCTCACCCAAGGACATTTTTGCCCGTATCCTCAGATAGAGCAGGAGCGAGAGAGGGAGGAAGAGAGAAACATTGATATGAGAAAGACACGTTGCATGGCTGCCACCCACACAGGGCCGGGGACAAACTGCAACCAAGGTACGTGCCCTCCGCAGGAACCGAACCCAGGACTCTCCAGTCTGTGAGCTGATGCTCTAACGACTGAGCAAAACCAGCCAGGGCAAGAAAAACAAATTTTTAAAGAAAATATTTGTAGGGGTAAAAGGAAGGAGACTTGACTGTGGGTGGTGAAGACACAATGCAGTAAACACATAGATGATGCGTTATAAAATCGTATACTTGAAAGCTACGTAATTTTATTAACCAATGTTTTTAAATTTTCTTTAAAAAAAAAATTTGTAAATCATATACAGGCATACCTTGGGGATATTATGGGTTCAGTTCCAGGACACCACAATAAAACAAATATCGCAATAAAGCAAGTCACACAATTTTTTTGGTTTCTCAGTACACATAAAATTTATGTTTACATTATGCTGTAATCTATTAAGTGTGTGATAGCATTATGTCTAAACAATGTACACACTTCGATTTAAAAATGCCCAGGTGATCTCTCTCTCTCTCTCTCTCTCTCCCATTTTTTTGGCGAGACAACCAAAAAATTAATTAATTAATTATTAAAAAATAAAAATACCCATGCGTTGCCCTGGCCAGTTTGGCTCAGCGGTTAGAGCATCAGCCCATGGATAGAAGGGTCTCGGGTTCAATTCCTCGTCCAAGGCGCATACCTGGGTTACAGGTTCAATCCCTGGTCCTGATCGGAGTCATGCAGGAGGCAACCAATCAATGTGTCTTTCTTACATCACTGTTTCTCTCTCTTTCTTTCTCTCCCTCCCCCCCCTTCCACTCTAAAAATCAATGGAAAAGTGTCCTCAGGTGATTAACAAAAAATAAATAAAATAAAAATACCTATGTGTCCATCAAGAGAAGAATGAATCAACCAAATGTCACACACACTGTGGAATATTAGTCACCCTTAAAAAGGAAGGAAATTCTGGAACATGCTACAATATGATGAACCCTGAGGACACTATGCTAAGTGAAACAAGCCAGTCACAACAGGACAAATACTGTATAATCCTGCCTTTATGATGCATCTAGGGCTGTCCGATTCAGAGAAACAGAAAATAGAATGGTGCTTGCCAGGGCCTGGGGGGAGGGGAAACGGGCAATTGTCTAATGGGTAAGGAGTTTCACTTCACAAGATGATTAAGTCCTGGAGAATGGTTGCACGCTAATGTGAATTTACTTAACAGCACTGAGCTGAAAATTTTTAAATGTCTCAGATGGTCGCTTTTGTCACATGCATTTCACCAACAATGAGACACCACTTCACACCTGTTAGGATGGGTATAATCAAAAGGACAAGTGCTGGTGGGGACATGAGGAAACTGGAACTCTCCTGCATTACTGGGAGCATGTAAAAATGGTGCAGCCATTTTGCAAAACAGTTTGGCAGGTTCTTAAACATAAATTTACCACATGACCCTGCAATTCAACCCATCTACCCAACAGAAATGAAACGCATGTCTTTGTGTGAACAAAGACTTGTTGCACATGAATGTTCATAGAACTTTATTCACAATCGTCAAACAATGGGGACAATTCAAATGTCCACCAGCAGTGATGGAGACCTCCACCTTGACAATCCGAGTAGGTGGAGGCGAGGAAAAGGGACATAGAGGCACACTGAATCCATCCTACACGCTTGGTTTTCTTGTCTCGTACAGATTTTTGTTAAGAGTGGAGCACTGCTTTGGATGCAAGCAATTTGGGCTCCAGTTGACCGTCAAAGAGAATTTGCATCGAGAAAGGAAGATTTCTAACAGAAATGCCCATTGTAGTTTGACAATAAGAACTGGGCTTGCCAACGAGAACAGGTGGGTGAAGCGTGTCTACAAATCATATGAACTAAATCAGCTCCTTCCGGTTTTTGGTAAAAATATATTTGAAGTATATAATAAAATGAAGAGCTTTTTTATTTTTCAAAAAGTATTTGGAGAGATGCATTTAATTACTAACATTACAATTTCTCCAATTGTTTCTGAGCATATCGGGTTAAAGAAATTTATCTCTAAGTGAAGGAGGACTGGGTAAAATTAGTTCTCATATGATAAGTCTTGATAAAACTTTTTTGATATATTTTTCAGAAACTGCGAAGTGAGAGGGGCTCAGGACCGAGTAATAATCCTTTTGCAAAAGAGGACATTTCCACCACACTGAGAAGGACCTAATGTAGTGACAGAACAAGAAAAATATTTGTAATGAGAGGTCATTATACAATTCTTAAGACATTTTGACATCTTGGTAAGATACATATAACAGAATATTACCATCATAGCCATTTATAAGTGTACAGTTATGTCAGGGGCACTGATATGCAACCACCACCACCACCATCCACCTCCAGAACTCTGTACCTTGTAAAACTGAAACTCTGTTCTGGTTACACAATAACTGCCCGGCCCCCACCCCGGCCCTGACAACCACCATTCCACTTTCTGTTTCTGTGAATCCGACTTCTCCAGTTATCTCACAGAAGTGTAATCAGACAGTATTTGTCCTTTTATGGTTGGCTAATTTCATTTAGCACAATGTCCTCAAGGTTCATCCATGTTGCAGCAGGTGTCAAACACACAACCAACAGAAAAGATTCTGAAATAATACTATGCTGACTTCCGGTGATGCTATTTTCATTTTACTTTAATTCATTAAAAACAAAGTAATAGTCATGGTTCATTAGGTGGATGCCACGATCCTCTCAGGGGTGCTGACCCACAGTTTAAAAAAAAATCTGCTCGGAGGACTCAACAGGATGATGTATGTAAAGGGTTTGGTCCAGAGGAAGGCTCCCTAAATGGGAACTTTCCCAAAGTGCTGCCTGGAACTTTCGTGGTCCTCATCTTCGAAGGTCTAAGTTTCTTCTCACCCATCTTGGGATTTTCAACTAAAATGCCCCACCCGCCTGAGCACTGGCACCTGCTACCCACTGTATCCTATTACCTGGTTACCTCTTCATAGAACTACTGCCCTTATCTGAAACGAATTACTCAGCTTCATGTTCGTGGCCTGCTGTGACCTTCCAGGCTGAGGGCAGGAGTCTTGCCGGCCCCCCTCATAAGGGTACCCCTGATTCAGTGCCTAGCACGTCATGCAGTCCGTAGTTCCAGAATGAACGAACGACCACGAGGAAATGAGCAGGGGAGCATTTGAATCAACTCTAGTTGATGCTCCCCAGACTTCCATTTGAGAGTTCTAGGTGTTGGGGCGCTTTGTTCGCCTCTTGTATGATTTACGAAAGTTGTGGGAAAAGAGGCATCAAGGGAGAGGTGCTTGCTTAAGGGGGCGGGTATCTAGGAAAGAGGTGCTATACGGCAGGAATTCCGTTATTGGGGGTTCTCGTTCGTTCTGTACACATTTCCCCAAGAGTCCTAGAGGGAGGGCAAGCTCGTTGACTTCTGACTCCCTTGTCAGCGACCAGAACATTGCCCGGAAGGTAGTGGACGCTCAATACATATTTGAAGAATGAAAAAATGAAGCCGGAAACTGGAAGCCTAACGTATAAGCCGGCTCGACGGGCTGCAGTTCCTCCCCCGGGCAGCAGGCGACGCTGGCGGCACACAGCCGGGACGCCGGCAGTTCTTGGCCCCTCCGGCTGACCGTCCAACGCTGGGCCCCGAGGCCAATGAAGGAGTTAGCCAATAGGAGGCCGCCTTAGTCGTAAGGTGGGAGAGAGGTGCCCTATGAGCGCGGCGGGTCTAGGCAAGGGGCGGTGCGACGAGGAGGGGCCGAGCGGAGCGGTTAGAGGTGGGTGTTGCTGTTGCGGGCCGGGCGGGGGCCGCGGAGCTGCGATGCGGACGGGACCGAGTCCGTGACCGGAGCTGCCGGCCGACATGAACTCGCTGGAGCAGGCAGAAGGTAGGTGGGCCGCCCGTGCGTGTCCCGGGCTCGTCCCGGAAGCCGGAGGGGCAGAAGTGGCGGAGACCCCTCCCCGGGGAGAGGAGGCCGCGTTGGGTGAACCGACGCGGCCCGGAGCTTGGGGGTCGCGGGGACCCGACGCAGGGCCGAGGGGCAGCGGGACCGGCCGGACGCTGGGGCGGCGCGCGCGGCCTTGCGGACGCTGGGGGCGGTGCGTCCGCTGCGCCAGCCCCTCCCCCAGTTTAAACCCGCGGAGCGCCTCTCCGGGGCCGCTGTTAATTCATCAGCGGACATTCGCGCTGCGTGCCTTGTGGCACGTTGACTCGCTGTACTCTGACAACCCCGCGAGGGGTGTCCGTAATGCCCGCCGTGGTTTCTGGTAGCTGCCGGGGCAAGAGATTGCCTCTCGATCTCCTTTTTAAAGTTTAAAAAGCGCAATCGTGGAAGCGGTACCCCACCGCGCTCTTGCGCAGGGGCACCTTGGGCGCCCTGACTTTTCAGAAGGCGTCCGGCCGTCGATGGAGCCAGGATCACCTCCCACCCACCCGTTCGGAGGGAGGACAGGGGGCTGTCTTTTCACACCGACCCCTTAGCAGGTCCGAAGTCGGAAAGCGTAGCCATTAATTAAACATACGGGCTAGAAATCGGAAGCGGGTAACTGCATTCCCCTAGGCCTCGAAGACCTGGATGTTAGGCAATACCTTGCGCTGTCTAATAGGAAGTTCTTGGTTCCAGCAGAATTAAAACTCGACCTGATGTTGATCCTTTTATTTGCAACCCCCAAATTTCTAGCTTTTGGCTCCGGCTTGAGGCTGCTGCTGCTTTTCCACATACCATTTTACGAAGCTTCTAAAAGTGAACCAGCCAGTTTCCTTATATGTGAAATTGGAACTAAAGAAACCTAATGTTTTTGTCAAGTGCTTAAAGCTGTCATAGTAAAAGAAGTAAACAGTGCAGTGATACATGTAAGTTGGTGTGTAAGACCTGAAGCAGTTAGAGTATCTAAAATTTCATCTTCACAGACTTAAACTAGTAAGAGTAGCTAATTAGAAGATTGAAATCTTTTTACCTAGACCTCAAGGCTTTCGAGAGGAGACTTACTGAATATATTCATTGTTTGCAACCTGCTACTGGACGTTGGAGAAGTAAGTGCCTGTATGTTTTCTTAAGGGGAAATAAACTGACAGTTGATACTTTTCTCCCTGCCTTGCAATGACTTACTTTTATGTAAACCTTGAATAACAAATACTTGCTTTACTAAACCCTGGATTTCCTTTTGTTTTCAGTTTTTAAATTTGTTTAACATAGTAAACAATGCATTATAAAGAAACTTTTGTTTTTCTTTATTGATATTTGAGAGAGGAAGGGAGGGGGGGGAGAGAGATAGAAACATCTATGAGAGAGAACATTGACAGGCCGCCTCCTGCATGCCCCCCACTGGGGATCAGGCCCACTTTCTGGGCATGTGCCCTGACTGGGAATTGAACCGGCGACCTCTTAGTGCATGGGTCAATGCTCAACCACTGAGCCACACCTGCTGGGCTAAAGAAACTTCTAAGAAAGGGAACTGGCTACCCCAAAGAACAATCTTTGTGGTAGAATTTTTATTTTTCCATTAAAAAGACATACTTTTATTTTGCATTAAACAAATACTACAGATTTGATCAACACACATGGTAAAATTTTCAGTAGTCTGTTTAGCACTTTTACTATTTGCCTACAAACGATTGAAATAAAGTTTTGTTAAGGAAAATTATATTTAACATATACAGGATGGGGCAAAAGTAGGTTTACAGTTGTTCGCATGGCAATAATGCAATAACTAATAAGTAATAATGTAATAGACTGTTCTGCACATTCACAACTGTAAACCTACTTTTGCCCCACCCTGTACTTGCAGGGTTATGAAATAACTGTTAGTTGATTTTAACAGCATAACTCTGCTGCTTTAGAACGTTCCTAGAAAAAAATTCACATTATTACTCTTTACTCACAAATATCATAAATATTGCAAAATATGACTAGAAAGAATTGTGGTTACTGCCCAATGGAAATATAAGTAAATGCAGGCATATGTACAAATGATGACATCAGCGAACAGAAAACTACTAACTTATTTTGGGGCCAGTCTGAATTTCTTGAGTGTTTATTGTTGAAACTTAATTTCTGCCAAGCAACTACAACAGCACACATCAGGGACATAGTGTATTTCAAGTGTAACTAACCCAGTTTGTGGAACCAAAAGAGAGCTAGTGAAGGTACAGGTCTTTCCTGTCAAAATTTCTTGTCTAAATTTTTTTTTTAAATATAATCCTCACCCAAGGATACTTTTTCATTTATCTTCAGACAGAGTGGGAGGGAGGGGAAGAGAGAGAGAGACATCGATGTGAGATAGACACATCGATTGGTTGCTTCCTGCAGACCCCGACCAAGGCCGGGGACCAAATGGGGTACGTGCCCTTTTTTTTCTTTTTTTCCCAGTTGATTTTTAGAGAGAGAGGAAGGGACAGGGCTCTTGTAATTTACATGTGTTTGCAAAGTTTTAATCCTGTGCTATGAGAATTCTGATTGGTCAGAATTCCCAAGTAGTGATTTTCTCAGGTTCTCCAGTTTACCTAGAATTACCCCCAAAATCTTTGTCATTGCTACTTGAGAGCCTTATATCTTTTAAAATATATATGATGCTGTCCTATCTTATAAAATGAACATACTTTACTTTTTCTGGTTTGTGGCCTCAGAGCTTACATATAAATGACATCAGCGTGGTTAATGTATGTGTATAAAAGTAGGCATGTGAGGGTCCCCTCTAGTGGGTTTGCTTTTGCTTTATTTAAAACAAGAACTGCGCTATAGTATATTTCTTATTGGAAACACAGACTTACAGAAAATTGAGTTTAATCTGTTCTGAGCTGAGAATGTAATTTTAACATTTTGATTTTTATAAATACCTAAAATGAAATTGTTTTTCTGTGATTTGTCTCTCCTAAAAATAAATTGCCAGGAAATCTAGACAATTAAGGTTTTACTATATTTATATTGCTCTTTTAAGCTTGATCTCTACATTTTAAAACTGTATGCAACCCAACTGAAAGACAGTAACTGTCTTAATGAGAATATTAACCAGATCTTAGTGCCTTTTTATTATTTTTTAGTAGTGCCACTTATTCTTAGGTTTTACTTATGATTCATTTGGTACTTTTAAAAATAATTCTACCTAAGTAAGGAGAGAGAACCTTTATCTAATGTTTACTATCAGTAATTTCTACCCCGACCTTTCTTTAAGTCCCTTAATTAAAATCCCGTACTGATTAGTGTGCTCCATCCACACTGTCTAACACTGACCTTTGTTTAATTGAGCAGCGGGCTGTTGTCTGCAAGACAGACCCTTCGGTCAGAATTCTCAGTGCTTTCATAAAGGGGCCTTTGTTTGGCTGGTTTACGTTGGAAAATGAGGGTGTGTGTGTGTGTGTGTGTTTTAATTTGAATTTACAAAATCAGCACAAAGCACACTGAAAGTTACATAACATAGAGTCTTAAAGTTTTACCATCTTGTTTTTATTGCTTTAATTTCATTAACTTTCTTAAGTGCTGACAAATAATAAGGGGAACAGTATTCTCAGTTACTAAGGTTCACAGGTTTAGGAGAATTCCTCAAGGTTTATGGCAAGTCTCCTAATTCCTGAGTCAAGTGCATTTTCCATTTACTAAAGTGCTGCTTCCTTTGGCTGTCATTTATTAGTAACTGATGGTAGCAATACCAAATATTAAGAGCTTATTCCTTACTAATTTTTGTTTATCTTTCATCAGTGCTTCTTATAGTGGTATCTGTCTGTACAGCTACTGGTGCCTGGAACTGGTTAATAGATCCTGAGACACAAAAGGTAGAAGTTTTTATTTAAAACCTTTAATAGATTAAATGAGAGACTGGATATGGCTGTGCTTTGCTCATTGTAAAGTATTACTCAGATGCTGCAGCTTGTTACTGTGAATAGTGATATTAATCATCATATTAAAAACATGCCTTACGTTAATTTGCTTTAGAAAAACTTTGGCTGGCCATTGTGAATTAACTATCTTTACAGGGGGAAAGGTCTAGGAAATGTTACTCCACTTATAGAATTTCTCACTCATTTCTGAACTTGTGTGCAGCTTTTACATGTCTCGTGTGCCCGTATTTTTACGTTTTAGAGTAAACACTGTCTTTGTTCTGGTTTGTTCAGTTAGTGTCCTCAGTACCAGCTTTTAAAAATTATAAAACATTTTCCTCTATGAGCTATCTTTGTTAATACCTTTCCTCATCCCATTATGCTTTGCAGGAAACAGATATGATAAAATAGCAAAATATAAATGTAATAAAGCCCTGACTGGTATGTCTCAACTGGTTGGGCATTGTCTGGTGCACCGAAAGGTTGCTGGTTAGATTCCCTGTCAGGGCACATGCCCGGGTTGTGAGCTCGATCCCCAGTAGGCGGGTTGTAGGAGGCAGCTGATCTATGTTATGCTCTCATATTGATGTTTCTCTCTCTCTCCCTCTGCCTTCCTCTCTCTCTAGACATCAGTAAACCATTCTTTTAAAAAAATAATAAAAGTTAAAGCTAGAAACAACAAATTAGACTTGAAGGACAAAACCAGGAAGGAACCAGGTCACTGGCAATAGAGGCCATATGGGCCAGCACAGTTTTCAGAATTGAGTTACATATAGATTAGTCTCTGAGTCACCTAATCAGTAAAGTCACAGCCAGTTGCATGGTTTTCATTGTCTGTGAAGAGAGCATATGTGTAAGTTTCTTAAGCTAGCAAAGCTTTTATTTCCTCAGTGTTTATCTCTAAAAAAATTTTCCTGCCTGAAGTTTAATATAGGAAACACTGAGCGATCTCCCATTGGGCACTGCCCGGGAATATCCCTATTCCACATGCAGTAACACAGTTCATCATGTTACTCCTTGAAGCATCCTTTGATGAAAGCCGATAGCTTGTTTCTCAAATTCTACCTCTTTCTACTAACTTGGGTCTTAATTTCTAACTTGGGCTCTTTCACTAGAGAAACAGTGGTCTCCAGTTTATCAGTGAAGTTTTCCCCCAGTGCTGCTTTATTGAGATAATGATGATGTATTAATTTTCACAAATCTTAATCCCACTTCGCCCTTTTAAACTGTAATTAGGTAGCCTACATTCAGTAGCTTTATGACCTTTTAGGTTATATAGGAGAAAACCCTGGTAGTAAGACTTTTTTAAAAACACGTTTTTGTTGATTTTAGAGAGAGAAGGAGGGATAGGGAGAGAAACATTGCTCTGTTGCCTCCCACGCACACCCTGACCGGAAGGGAACCTGCAGCCTGGGCATGTGCCCTGACTGGAAATTGAATCGGCGACCTTTCAATGTGCAGGACGACGCTCCAGCCAACTGAGCGGCTCTGGCCAGGGCCCCGGTAGTAAGACTTTTGCAGGCAGTCTGCCTGGCAGTTCAGGTGGCCAGAGGCGTGTAGCTCTCTGACTTGGTCCGCTGGGGTGGAGATATAAGAAGCAGGGGAGGCTGGTGATGGAGTTTTATGTTAATAGAGGGGTTCTGTGGCAGATAGGAAACTCTCCTGTGTGTTCATTTATAAAAGTCTGATCTGACGGCTGCGCTTGGTACTCATCTTTAGGGGAAGAGTGGAGCAGGCTGGCAAGAAGATTGAAAAAGGTCTGTCTTGGGAAATGAATCAGACTTCTAATTGGGAAAAAAATATAAGCTGATTTTCAGCTAGTTGAGATCTTAATAAAACACTGAATTAAATGTAATTTGAAATAGGCCCAAAACTCTGTAGTTAATATGATTTTCTAAATTAGGAGAGAATATAAGGATTAGCCTAAGGGTTGGCTCTGTATATTTTAGTATTTAATAAGCTCCAACCTGACACAAGTTTTCAATAGCAATTGTGTCTGTAGCTGGAGATGCAAACTCGAGCCATTGGTTAGCTGGAGAGACCGAAGGAGAGGGAGTACAGTTGTCCCTCGCCACTTCATGCTGCCACTTTCGTGGCTCCCCTCTATTGCGGTGCTTTCAGATATGTTTATTAGAAAGTTGATCGAGACGGTGAAAATGATACAGTGTGCACTCGGTTGTCTGAGTTAATTACACACTCTGTATTACAATTAAAATAAAAATTACTGTACGTACGGACTGCAGGCCTATGTATTCGAGCACCCCGGGAATCCTTCAACGCCAGGTGCAACCAACCACTCAACCACTCCTTGTGTGTGGGCAATAACTTTTTTCCAAAAAATTGGGTATGGTGAAACCAAGCTAAATCAGAGCGTGCTGTTCACTGATTGGCTACCCTATCCTGGCCACTGATTGGCTCAGCCTCATGCAAGTTCATTTAAAAAACGTATTTAGAAGGTTGTGAACAGGTTTTCTATGCTCTAAATTGCGAAAATATTTTGATTTATAAATAAAGAATCCTACTTTGCAGAAATTCATTTATCGCAGTAGAGTCTGGAACTGATTAACCGTGATAAATGAGGGCCAACTGTATGGCAAATTGGAAGTACAGGAATGCCTGATCTAAGGGGAAACTGCTGTTTGTTACCATAGGGGAAAGAAGGCTGGTGGTCCTGGCTGATCTAATTAAAATTAAAACATAAAACTATCTGTACTAACATTTTGCAGGCCACATAAAACACAGCTGGCCTGTGGGGATTAAACTGTCCTCAGGTTTTAAGAAGCATGCCTCTGGAATATTAATCTTTCTTCAGGAGCTCATCCTTCTGGGAGCTTCTTCCTCCTGATATTTCCAGCCTCTCATTTCTTCATTTGACAGATTTATTTAACCAGAACCATGCTAGGCCATCTACCAGGTGCTTCTCATCAGTTCAGCCTCTGTCATGAAACATGTTTGCACCTCGTGATGTGATGGGAATGCCGAGGTCCTTAGCTTGATTCTGTCGCTCCCACTTACTGGTCCACGTGATTTCTTTTTCAGACTCTAAATTCTTGTCTTCTCTCTTTCCATCTACTTTCCTGTCCCCTAGTAGTCTGGTTTCAGTGCCTGCTCTTGTTCCGAACCTGAATCCTGTTGTGTATTGTCCTGTTCCTGTTACCAGCTGAGTATCCCAGATCTGATTCACCCTTTTCTTCTGAACTCTAGTTCTTTATGGAGAGCTGCTAATTGTTTTTCCCTGCGTGAGTGTCCTGTGGCCATCTGAATCTCAGTAGCTTTAAACCCAACCTCATCATTGCTTCTGCAGAGGAAGGGTGATACTGGAGTTGAGTCCTATAAGGATGTGTAGGAGTTAGCCAGATGGAGAGGGGAGGAGGAATGTGGTAGCAAGCGTGCCAGTGTGGCAGGAAATGATTCGACTGGGACTCGGTTATGCATGGTAGAGTTTGCCCAACTCTTAAGGAAGCTTTTTAACAAGGAAGGTAACTAGATCACATTTGACTTGTGATTTTTTGAGATCATATCATCTTCATTCATTCAACAATACTCGTTGAGCACCCGTGTTTGCCACGTGCTATTTCAGATGTTGGGGAAAGCCATCCAGGGATACAGGACAGTATCCCTGCCCTCCTGGAACTTAGAGTCTGTGCTTTTTAAATTGCTGCTCACTAGGAGGAGTTCAGTAAATATTTTTGGTAGCATGGTTTTTGATTACAGGAATGAATTTGTAGTAATTTGGGTATTTGGAAAGAATGGAGTGAATATTGCTCTATTGCCTTGCTACATTAAAGACAGAAAATTACGTGTTTTTATTGTTATAGTATAGCAATACAGAGAAGTAGAAGTATTGGAAGTCTTTTTTTTTAATGGTAAATCTTTATTTTTGTGTGTGTGTGTGGTACGTGCCCCTAGTGGGAACCGAACCCAGGACTTTCTGGTCTGTACGCCGATGCTCAACCACTGAGCCGAACGGGCCAGGGCAGTATTGGAAGTCTTTAAATCCTCATATTTTAGTTGAATAAAATGTTACATATATGTATGCATGAGTGGAGAGGTGGGAATCTGTATTGTTCTAAGATTTTTAACATTTTTGTATTTCAAACTTTTTTCCAGGTGTCCTTCTTCACGTCATTGTGGAATCATCCGTTTTTCACCATTAGTTGTATCACTCTAATAGGCTTGTTCTTTGCTGGAATACACAAGAGAGTAGTTGCTCCATCAATGTATCCTTTACACAATTGTGCTTTACCCTCTGAACGAAGTTAAAGCACTTTTCTCGGTGAGCTAGGTGGTGTTACAAGCTTACACTTGAGATAATAAATTTTCCTTTGACCACATTTATTCAGTATAGCTGCTCGGTGTCGAACTGTATTAGCAGAGTACAATATGTCTTGTGATGATGTAAGTATTTTATTTGAAAATTACAGATGTGTGTGAAAGGAATGAGATGTTTTGGCTTAAGTAAAATAGGCATATTATTAACAATAATTGTCTCCATGGAATTAATAGTGGAAATATTCCTATCGTATTAATTGTAAGATTTTTTTTTTAATTTTAACATCTCTGAAATTGAGATGCATCTAATAAGTTAATGGTATCTTACAATTCGTAGAGATGACAGTTTAATTTTTCTTAATGATGCAGAATCATGATGCAGGTCTCATAATTGAGACCATCTTAGATTTAATGAAAAACTGTGGTCATTATTGGCCAAAATGGCTTAGTGGGTGTTGGTTTTGTAAATTACTATGATTTTTCTAATGGTATTTTGCATGTAGGATCTTAAATAGAGTCCTAGATTAACTGGTGGACTGTGGACATGCAAACCTACTGTATCCATGTATTATGATAAGAATGTCTCCCAGTTTTGATTTGCCTGCTTTATTTATAAAAGCATTTTTACCTTCAATTTAAGAAACTATGAAACAAGTAATACCTAGAAAATTAGAATAAAGAGCAAAAAAAGCATTAAGGCAGGAAGACAACTGAATCAGTGGAAGAACATAAAGACTATTCTGTTTTTTTTAATTCAAGGATAAGGATGGTATTTCAAGTTCAAAGGGAAGAAATGGGCTATTAGTGTTGAGACAATTGGCTCTTCGTTTGGAAAAGATGAATTTTGATTTCACATCAGTTAAAATTCCAAATAGAGTCTTAACTATGCTTAAAAGGACATATATAGCCTATTATAAAAGCATTAGGGGAAAATATAGAAGAATATATTTATAAGTTTGGGATATAAAAATGCTTTTTAAGACAAAACAGACATGCCATAATGGAAGAAGTTGGATACATTTAATTGCATAACATTTGAAGCAGTGATTAGAAAAAAACTGTTTGTAAAGTATCCAACAGAGGATAGTATCCAGAATATTTAAAGACCTATAAAAATTGATAAGAAAAAGGAAAATAGTATATTTTAAAAATGGGAAAAGTCATATCACAGAGAAATAGAAATGGCTAATAAACATAGAGACGAGACAGCTTTATTTATAATCAGGAAACAATGAGTTTCTATTGGTGTTACCTGCCAGATTGGCAAAAAGGCAACACTTTAATTCCAGTTTTGGACCGGCCAGTGTGGCTCAGTGGATTGAGAGTTGTCCCATGGACTGAGAGTTCCTGGTTCGATTCCCGGTCAGGGCACATGCCAGCATTGTGGGCTCAGTCCCCAGTAGGGGGCATGCAGGAGGCAGCCAATTGATGTTTCTATCCCTCTCTCTAAAAAAAGTCAATAAAAAAACGTATTTTTAAAAAATGATAATTCCAGTTCTGTGGTAAAATGGATTCTCCCACTCACTGCTTGTTAAGCATATACATTGGTACAGCCATTTGAAGAGCAGTTTTTATCATGCTAACAAAATACAAAATGTGCATGACCCACGACCTGACTGTTTTCCCCACCTGCCCTGGGGAGTACTGTTGCACATGCACCCTGGAGGCAAGATCAGAGTTGTTAGTGCACTGTCCTTTGTAGTAGTGACAACCGGAAACAGTCTTTTTGTTTTGGCACAGGCGTGGTAAAGTAGGCTGTGCTCTTGCCCCATCATAGGAAACCGAAAGTGCATCTATAAATATGGACTTGGAGGGTTTCCCAGACATGATGTTAGGTGCCATAAGTAAATTACCAAACAGTATGCCCACGGTGGTACCATTAAAAAAAAGTCTCAATTATAAAAATTTCCAAACATAAAATAGTAAAGAGAAGAATATAATGAACTCCCGCGTACCCATTTGCCAATGTCAACAATAATCAGCTCATGGCTAGTTTATTTCATGTGTACCCCTGCACAGCTTCTCCTCATTGAATTGTTTTTAAACAAATCCCAAGTGATATATTTTACCCTCACGTATTTCAGCTAATTAGAAACACCAGATTTTTATAATTTATATATGTGATTGTAATCCATAGAAAATCTGGAAAAATTCATGCTGAAACTTTCTTCTTTAAGAAAGCTAGAATTTGAGGTAGATGGAAAAGATAACTTGAGCGAGATTATATTAATGTCTGACTCTTGTAATCTAAAATAGACTTAAACAAATAATGGTGTATTCATACCGTGGAATACTGTGTATGTTATATAAAAGGTTAAAACTACTGAAATGTAGTAGCTTGAAACATTGAGTGAAAGCAGCACATGCAAAGAGAGCACACAGTCTGATGCCAAATTATTTGTGCACAGATCACAGACAGGCAGAAGTCATGTGTTATGGGAAGCAGTTTCACCTGAGTAGGGGTTGGGGCGATGGAAGGTGATGGTGATGTTCTGTAGTTTGATCTGCTAGTGGCTACATGGTGAATATATTTGTCAAAACTCATAAAACTGCACACAAGATTCGAGCGTTTTATTGTATATAAATTATACTGCAGTAAAATGGGGAAAATTAGTATCGAAGTTTTATCAAGATACTAAGGAATTACTAAAAATTAAGTGAAAGTGAAAATCGAGAAATTATTAAAACTCTGACAATACTTTTGACCTGAGGATAATAATAAAATCTGTGCATTAAAACCACTTAGAATCTTACTAACCAAAGATAATCACCAAGTTTTATATTATATTTTGTTATATATTGTCTTTTTTTTTTTTTTTTTATCCTCACCGAGGACATTTTTCCATTTTTTTTGTTCAGATGGAGGGGGGGGAGACAAATATCAATGTGAGAGAGATACATCGATTAGTTGCCTCCTGCATGACCCTGACCAGGGCCAGGGACCAAAACACAACCAAGGTATGTGCCCTTAGCCAGAATCGAATCCACGACTCTTTGGTTCATGGGCCGACACTGCTGAGCCAAACCAGCCAGGGCAGTCCTCATCTATTATTTTTTAATCTTCACTCAATATTTTTCCATTAATTTTCAGATAGAGTAGGAGGGAGGGAGAGAAACGTTGATTGGTTGCTTCCCGCACAACCCAGACCAGGGCCAGGGATCAAATTGCAACAGAGGTATGTGCCCTTGACCAGAATTGGTCTATGAACCGATGCTCTAATCGCTAAGCCAAACCAGTTGGGGCCTCATGTACTTTTTTTTTTTTTTATCCTCAACTGAGGACATTTTTCGGTATTTTGTTCAGATAGAGTAGGAGGGAGGGAGGGGGGAGAGAGAGAAAAACATCGACATGAAAGGGACACATTGAGTGGTTGCCACCCACACGACCCAACCAGGGCCGGGGACAAACTGCACCTAAGGTACGTGCCCTTAGTGGGAAGCGAACCCGGGTCTCGCTGGACCGCAGGCCGACGCTCTAACCGCTGAGCCGAACTGGCCAGGGCTACTTTTTTTTTTTTTAAGAGGGGGAAGAGAGAGATAGAAACATCAATAAGAGAGAACGTCAATTGGCCACCTCCTACGTGCCCCCCACTGGGGATTTGACCTACAACCTGGGAATGTGCCCTGACCTGGAATCGATCCTGTGACTTTGTGGTGCATGGATTGATGCTCAACCACTGAGCCACACTGGCTGGTTGGGCCTCATCTACGTTTTTTCTTTATCTTCATTCGAGGACATTTTTCCATTTTTTTGTTCAAATAGAGTGGGAGGGGGAGAGAGAGAAACATCAATGTGAAAGGGACACATCAAGTGGTTGCCACCCACACGACCCATCTAGGGCCAGGGACAAACTGCAACCGAGGTACATGCCCTTAGCGGGAACTGAACCCGGGTCTCTCTGGACCGCAGGCCGACGCTCTGTCCACCAGGGCCCATTCCATATTCTTGAAGTAGCTGGGGAATGGATATCTGCTGGTTCAAATGTGTGCAGCTCAGAACCTAACATGCAGTTTGCCCAAAAACTGCGGTCCCTGCAGTATGTCTTAGAGATTTCTATGCGGTACACAATGTGTTAACGCAACATTGAGATTTAAGAGCCACCATTTATTGGACATTAGTCATGTGCGAGGTCTTGGACTTCGTACCTGCATTATCTCAAAGTCTTCCATTTGTTTAATTACATATTGTCCCATTTCATGGCAGCATCATAATTTAATCCATGTTATATACATTGTATGTTCTCCACTAGCACTTAACTCCATGAAAACAAGGGACTTTGTCAGTTCATGGCTGGATCTCTAGCGTTTCATACAAGGCCTGCCTGGCACACAGTAGGCATCCAATAAGTGCTGAATGAAAGCTTTCTTTTTTAATCCTCAACCGAGGACATTTTTTTGCATTCATCTTCAGATAGAGCAGGAGGGAGGGAGAGAGAGAGAGAGAGAGAAACATAGATGTGAGAGAGAGACATCAACTGGCTGCCACCCACACAACCCCAACCAGGGCCAGGGACAAACTGCAACTGAGGTATGTGCCCTTAGCAGGAACCGAACCCAGGATTCTCTGGTCTGTGGGCTGACGCTCTAACCGTTGAGCCAAACCGGCCAGGACGAATGAAAGTTTTAATAATATTTATATATACATGTTTACACTTGCATTTAGTTTTCTTCAGATAAATTTCTGAAAATGGAATTGTTTGGATTCTGTGGTATTTTTTTTAATATGTATTTTTATTGATATTTTTAGAGAGAAACATCAATGTGAGAGAAAACATTGATCAGCTGCCTCCTGCACGCCCCCTATTGGGGATCAAGCTTGCAGTCCAGGCATGTGTCCTGACCGGGAATCGAACCAGGACCTCCCAGTTCTTGGGAATGAGACTTTGGTCAATCCACTGAGCCACACTGGCCAGACTGTATTTCTTTCTTTCTTTCTTTTTAATGAATATGGTCGTTAGCCCTACAGAGGAGTTGTGTTCAGTTACTCTGAGCACCAGCAGTGTACAAGCACCTGTTGTTCCGGCTATTGGTCTACATTTAACTTGAAATTAAAATCACTGTTGGAAAAGGAGAAATGCTTTTGCCAGATAACGCAGTTCTATCTGTGCTCTATGCACTTCGTTTGATAAGGCGCACAGATCAGTCTGTGCAGGCTGGGATTTCATTTGTCAGTGGATTGATGGCTGGTTTGTGGTAGCCAGGGGGCGGGGTTCATCACGTAAAGATGTTTGTGTGTGTTTTGAAGTAGTGAAGACTGGAAGAAAACTCCACACAAAGAAAACTTTGAAAAGATAAATGTTCATTGCTTAATCTTGACAAAATACAGAGGTGTTCTGATATCCTTCAAGTACCCTTTGAGGTGTATCAATAAATGGTGGTATTTTTAATAGAACTGTGCATTAAAAAAGTTTTTTATTTTTACAGACAGGAAAATTGATTTTGAAACCCAGGCCTCACGTTCAGTGACAGTCTGCAGTCACTGTTATGGGACTTAAAGCAGCCTTTCTCCAGAGACGCGTACAGCAGGACCCATAGGGTTCCTTCCACAGTCGGACGTGTGACCGTCACAGCAACAGCTGACAGAAGTGTGCAATATTTACCCAGATAGCTTGATGATGATGACTCGCATTGTCAGTGCTTTGGTCCCTTGGATTGTCTGTGTATCAGTATTAGTGTCACTTTAGTACTTCAGGTCCTGCAGAGATAGTTGCAGATGAAGTATGTGTGTATGTTACTAAGTTAAACTTAGAAACAGAACTTCATCCAGTTTTTATAATGTATTTTTGCAAACTACTGTAAATAGCAAATCGGTGTCGATGTCAAAGAGGAAAGCGTTAGTGGACTTGGTTCTCCTGCAGCAGTATTTCAGGAGCATCAGCTTGCCGTGTCCGCGGCTCTGAACCAGCCGTGTGTGTGGCTGTGCCTTTCGTCCTGACCCTCCTCGCTCTAATCGTAACAGGAAAACCGTCGGATCGGGCTGGGACTAGGAAAACGCATCTGCATTATGTTACAAGAAATTATGGATGTTTTGAGACACAATTTTTGTTAAACCAGATAGTGAACTGCAGCCACTACTGTGGTGATATTTTCCTGTTCGTTGTTTTCATTTAATGCTAAATTTACTTTGTATTTTTAAAATAATTTTAAGAACACTCCAGAGGCTTCTGAAAATACCAGTTTAGTTTTAAATTATGTATTGTCTGGGATTTGATGGTTATTGTTTTAGATAATTGGGTTTTATGCTGTGGTCGATGTGCTGTTACACTAGTATTGCAAAGTGTTCTTGATCATTCACTCCGTCACGAGGAGAACTGGGGGCGGTGCCACAAACTAGAGTCTACAATTCTCACTGTTTAGAGAGTGTTATTGACATACTGTGTATGCATATTAACCACATGTACTATAATAACTCTTAAAATTAAACTATTGGGATTGCTGTAAATATTTTAAAGAACTGGAGGTGCCTTTTACCTGTTTATTAGAAGATTTTGAGAAGATGTAAATTATTTCCAGAGCAATCTTTGAAATTTTATTTGACATAAAGCTGAAAATTCAATAACAGGACAAAAACTTTTAAGTCGGCTACCATTTAATGTAAACGTGTTCATCCTGGCGTTTATGTGTATAAGATTTTATTCTTTGAACTGTAGCAATAAAACCCTCTGCTCCTAAGAAGTCTTAAGAGGGTATTCTATATATTCTGCATTGTTTTATTTTCTGTAAATTTTGTAGGTAAATATGTGCATAAAAATAAATACTTTATATATAATTAGTGTTTGGGCTTTTTCCTTGGTTTATTGTTAAGTCGGTAACTCTGAAAGATTTTATAAACAGTGTGTGTCTCCAATACAGGCTAGTTCCGAATGAGTTATTTTACTTTGTCCAGTAGAGCAAATTTCAAGTAGCACTTGTATGTGCCCAGTTTATTAGGCTGTGGTAAATGTTATCATGTCTTATGCCTCGTAGCTGATAACATTTGGCTCCTAATCAGGAAATGCAGGTTTTCTCGTAGTGCTTTACAGACTTGCATTGCCAGCTTCCTACAGGAGTATAACGCTGACGGGGGATTTGATAGGTCCTCAGACCTTTTTGGAGTTACCAGCTACTGTGAGTGTTTTTTAAAATATGTTTTCATTGATTTTTTTTAAAAAGGAAGGGGGAGAGAGAGAGAGAGAGAAAGAAACAGCAATATGAAAGAGAAACACGAATCAGCTGCCTCCTGCACGTCCTCGACTGGAGATTGAGCCTGAAACCCCAGCATGTGCCCTGACTTGGAATCAAACCTGCTACCTTTTGGTGCATGGGACGACATTCAACCAACTGAGCCACACTGGCCAGGGCTACCTTGAGTATTTTATTTAAAAAAATTTTTTTTTCTTTATTGATTTTAGAGAGAGAGTTAGAAACATCGATGAATAGGCCACTTCATGCATGCCCACTGAGGATCTGGCTCACAAGCTGGGCATGTGCTCTGACCCAGAATCAAACCGGCGACCTCTTGGTGCATGGATCAACGCTCAACCACTGAGCCACACCGGCTGGGCTACCTTACTATTATTTTATTTTTATCCTCACCCGAGGACTTTTTTTTTTTTTTTGGTTCAGATAGAGTGGGAGGGAGAGAGAGGAAGAGAGAAGCATCGACGCGAAAAGTACACATCGAGTGGCTGCCACCCACACGACCCAACCAAGGCCGGGGACAAACTGCAGCGGAGATACGTGCCCTTAGCGGGAACCGAACCCAGGTCTCCCTGGACCGCAGGCTGATGCTCTAACCGCTGAGCCAAACCGGCCAGGGCTACCTTGATTATTTTAATGAAAGCCATGCATCTTCTCCCCTAGAAAGATACACCATGTACATACACATACTTTGCATGCATTTGGAGAGGATTTCACAGATTTCCTGGTGCCAGCCTCCTTGGAGTCTATTGGCTCCAAGAAAGAAACTTGTTAAAGGTTATCAAACCTTTACTCCTAGCAGAACAATTCATTTTCCAAGCAAATCTTTGTTTTGGTTGAAATAGGCCCAAGGGTTGTTGCCAAGTTAGCTTCTCACTGCCACCCTCGTCTTATCCCTGCTCCACACTACCAGGAAATTACTGATGGAGTCCAGTCCTCTAATTTTACAGTCTCAGATTTTCAAAGTGATTTCACTCTAGATCCCCCTGGCTTACTAAAGACAGAAGCAGCAGCGAACCAATCTGGACTCAGATTGAAAGTCTGTGTGTGTGTATGTGTGTGTGTGTGTGTGTTGGACTTAATTCCTGAGCCATTATAATGTTACAGTCAGGAATGCAGACTACGCCAGACTGGATGTGAATTTCAGATCTGCTACTTGCAACTTTAGGTAAATTATATCACCTTAGTTTTCTCATTTATAAATTGGTCATAATGCTAATCTCCTAGGTAGATAATATACAGGGTGGGGCAAAAGGAGGTTCACAGTGTGAGTATGCAAAAGATTATTCTTGTGTTATTTTTTAATTCTGGTATTTTCCATGGGAACAACTGGAAACCTGCTTTCTCCCCACCCTGTGTAGGATTGGTCAATATTCCAGGTTTATATTCAGTATTAAACATGTTAATTCATAAAAGTACTTAAACAGCACTTGGCTACAAAATCACTGCTTAGTAAATCTAGTTAAATCGTAAAAGTTACCAAAAAAAAAAAAAAGATATTACTGTTACAACCTTACCCAATGTCAACATGTCAGTGAGATAACCATGAGGAAATTCTGCTTATCTTTCAAACTAAGCAAATTTCTAAATAGGGAATTAAATGCCAAGAAAAAGAACATCTGGTCTCTAAGAAACTGTCCAGCCGGTGTGGCTGTGGATTGAGCCTTGTCCCGTGCACTGAGAGGTCCTGGTTAGAGTCCCAGTCAGGGAACGTGCTGGGGGTGCAGGCTCAATCCCCAATGTGGGCTTGCAGGAGGCAGCCGATGGATGTTTCTCACATTGATGTTTCTATCTCTCTCTCTTAAAAAGTCAATAAAATATATTTTTTAAGAAAGAAACCTAAAATGGTTCTGGTGCCTCCCTGGTCGCAGACACCCTCCCTGGAAACAGGAAAGCTCCTGACTGACCGCAGGCTAGTGCCGCTTTTGGAGGGCCCTCTTTCTCACTGAGCTGGACTTTCTAGAGACAGCTAAAACAGAGGCTCTGCCTTCAGCAGCAGCTACAGCGGCTCTTACCCTTTCCTGTTGAAACCTTAGAAACACGCCTCTCATCCTTCAGACGCAACTTTCTAAATGCTTTCACATTGGGTTAGTGTAATTTCTTTCTCCCTCTTTTTTCATTCTTAGCACTTATCACAACTAATTAAATAGTTATTCATATAATTATTATAAATTTAGCACATCTCACAAATTTTAAACTCCGTAAGGACAAAGACCAAGGACAAGGGACCAAATCTGTCTTGGTTATTGTTTTATCCTAACGCCCAGCCACTGTACCTGGTGCTCAATAAATAATTGCAAAAGAATCCTTTTCATTGTTAAATAAAAGTTTCAATCAAACATCTATGTACTGCTTATTATATATATGCCAGTCTTTGTTCTTATCATCTTAAACACTTTAATACATTTAATCCTATAACAACTGCATCAGGTGTATTTTATTGATGTTTCCATTTCACTGATGAGGAAACTGAGACAGGAAGATTAAGTAACTTCTTAAGAGAATCCATTCTAAAACATTAACTGGGCTTTGTGTATGTCAGGAGTTGTGGTAGGCGCCAGGAAGACAATAAAATCGTGGTTAGTATTTTTTGAGCACCTATTACACAGCAGGCTTGGTGTTAGGTGCTTTATTTAAGCCTCACAATAACTTTTACAAGTTAGGGATCCTTAACCCCAATCGGTTATATGGAAATTAAAGGTTTAGCGAGGTTCAGTAACTTGACAAACGTCACCTGCTGGTGGGAGGTGCAATCCATATTACCATTCAAATCCAGCCTCCTTCTTCCGGGGATATTCCACGGGACTCCGCCCCTCCGCCAGGGCTGGCCCCGCCCCCGCCCCGCGCCTGCGCGCTCCTCGCGCCGTCCCCTCCTCCGGAACGACGGGAAGCGCGCTTGCGCACTGCTTTCCATGTGAGCTCCGGGAGTCCGCGGGCCCAGGCGAGCAGCTGCACGTACCCCCGCCTCCACGAGCCCCGCTACCAGCTGCGCGGCCTCCCCCGGCTGGCTGTTGCCCTCCTCTCTTGCTCTTCCCTCTGGCGGACGTTGCCATGGGCAAGAGCAGGACGAAGCGCTTCAAGAGACCTCAGTTCTCCCCTACCGGCGACTGTCAGGCTGAGTTGGCAGCGGCGGAGAACGGGACTGAGCAGGGGGAGGACGACGGGCCGGCGGCGGAGCTGCTGGAAAAAGTGAGACCAGGGTTCGCGGGTCCCCAGGTGGGGGGCGGGGGCGGCGGGCCTGCGGCGGGGTCCTCCTGCGCCTGCGCTCTGCTCTCTCGCTGACACTTGCTCCTGTCCCGCAGCTCCAGCACCCGAGCGCCGAGGTCCGCGAGTGCGCCTGCGCCGGGCTGGCCCGGCTGGTGCAGCAGCGGCCGGCGCTCCCGGACCTGGCACGCAGGGATGCCGTGCGCCGCCTCGGGCCGCTGCTGCTCGACCCCAGCCTGGCGGTGAGGGAGACGGCGGCCGGCGCGCTCCGGTGAGTGGGGCGGGCGTCCCGGGCTGTGCTCGGGTCCGGACGGCACTGCGTCCAGCCAGCGCCTTCGCCTGTCCCGGTTCATCTTCAGTGCACTGCCCTAGGCAGCGCGGGAGCACCATGAACTAACTGCCCGGGGCCCCCAGTTTGCAGAGGGGGATCTGAACTCAAACTCCAGAGGCTCCTTCGCTTTCCGTGTGTCGACCTGACCGATTCACCCGCAGCAGCCACCTGCCCAGGGTCCTCCTCCGGGCTTAGCGCACATTGTCCCCTCTCCAAGAACCGTCCAGAGAGTCCTGAGGTTCAGGGAACGCTTCCAGTATATAGGTGCCAGGTCCTCTAGGTGCAGGGGATTTTGAGCAGGCAGGACATTGAGCTCTTCAGCTGAGATTCCTGCCTTCACAGAAACCATGGTGGTGAGACAGGCAGGAGACCAGTGAACAGGTAAAACAGATAACAGGTAGTGAGACCTACTATGGAGAAAACCAAGAGGATGATGAGACTTTACTTTAAATTGGAGCCTCTGTAGATGACAGCTGACGAATGAGAGAGCCAGATGGGGGGGCGGAGGGGGGCAGCCACAGCGAAGAAGGGAGGCAGCACAGGTGTTTGGCAGGTTAAAGAATGAAAGGTTCGTGTGGCTGAGTTGGGTAGGGGCAGGGTGTATGGGAGATGAGGCTGGAGAGATGGACAAGGGCTTGGGAGTGCAAGGCTAAAGGACTCGTTCATTCTAAGCAGGAGTGACATGATCTGATTTATCTTTTCAAAAAGTCACTCTGGTGGCTGTGTAGTGAATGGACTGTAGAGGGGGCAAGAGTAGAAGTTAGTATTTGTAGTCCTTAGAGCTCTGTTCCTATCTGTTGTGTTTCATTCATAGACTTAGCAAGTCCAGTCGTTTCGGGCGATGTCACTCTCGGTAGCCTTACCCTTGCTGCCCCTAAAGTCTTGATTCCAAGACTAGGTCCCTTCACAAAAGATTGGGCTGTGATTTGTTCACACTAAAGAGGAAAAGTTTCTGCCTTCTCTCTTCCCTATAAGCACACACCTGTGTATCGTCTCAGATGGACTTGTTCCGTGACTAAGTCATTTATTTACATCAGGTAGGGCAGGGATCAGAACAGGTCCAAATCAGTGGATTGGTTCTGCAACATCTTATCAAAATAATAAGCAATTTTGTCTTGGAAACCTTAAGTATGGTTAGAAATAGAAATAAATTTCAGAGCTTCATGGTGTTTTGTGACATGATCTGAAAAGTAACACGTTTTCTAAACTTCTCGTGTAGAAATCTCAGTGCTTGTGGAGGCTTTGAAGTTTGTGATGACATGGTGACTAAGGATATCATGACTCCTCTGGTCGCACTGCTCAGAGAGGTATGCAGTTTGATTTTATTTATTTATTTTTATTGTTGAAAATATTACAGATGTCCCCCGCTTTTTTCCCCCAATGACCCCCTCCACCCTACTCCCCGCCCCAGGCCCTCACTGCACTACTGTCTGTGCCCATTGGTTGTGCATATATGCATATAAGTTTTTTGGTTAATCTCTTCCTGCCTCCCTCCCTCCTTTCCTCTGAGATTTGTCAGTCTGTTCCGTGCTTCCATGTCCCTGGATCTATTTTGTTCAATTTATTTTGTTCATTAGATTCCACATATAAGTGAGATCATGTGGTACTTGTCTTTCTCTGACTGGCTTATTTCACTTAGCATAATACTCTCCAGGCCCCTCCATGCTGTCTCAAAGTGTAAGAGATCCTTCTTTTTTTTTTTTACAGCTGCATAGTATTCCGTTGTGTAAATATATCACAGCTTTTTTAGCCACTCATCTACTGATGGGCACTTGGGCTGTTTTCAGATCTTAGCTATTGTAAGGTATGCAGTTCTTAAAGTATCCTGATGGCAGTTTTAAAATGTAGCTTTTAGTATATAAATTTAGTGGGGGGTTTTGTGTTTTATGGGGTTTGTTTTAGTATTTTGATGTTAGTTATTTTATATTCCTTCAAAGCATCCTATAGGAATTTCTTTTCCTGGAAATGCTGATCTCTCATCATTCATAGTGGTCTCTCGTTTGTCCCCACTACATTTTTTATATGCTAGTTGAAAAAGACCTTCCTAAAACTATAGACAGACTCCTTTAAACTTTAAACTTCAGCCCTGGCCAGTTTGGCTTAGCGGTTAAAGCGTCGGCATGCGGTCCTGAGAGACCCGGGTTCGGTTCCCGCTAAGGGCATGTACCTCGGTTGCAGTTTGTCCCTGGCCCTGATTGGTCGTGCGGGTGGCAGCCACTCGATGTGTCCCTTTCACGTCGATGTTTCTCTCTCTCTCTCTTCCTCTCTCTCCCTCCCACTCTTTCTGTGCAAAAAATGAAAAAATGTCCTCGGGTGAGGATTAAAAAAAATAATAATAATAAAAATAAACTTTAAACTTCATATAATAAAATAATTACTATTACTGATTGCTTATTTATGTGCCAGGTGATGTTTTGTGTGCTGTTAAATCCTCACAGCAGCCCAGCCGGTGTGGCTCAGTGGACCCATGCACCAAGAGGTCACTGGTTCGATTCCCAGTCAGGGCACATGCCCAGATTGTGGGCCCGACCCCCAGTGGGGGCATGCAGGAGGCGGCCAGTTGATGTTCTCTCATCAATGTTTCTGTCTCTCTCCCTCTCCCTTCCTCTTTCAAATCAATGAAGAAAAAAAAAAACATTTAAAAAAATCCTCTCAGCGGTCCACTTGGCATCTGTAAATCTGTTTTTTTGCCTTAAAGATGATGTTAAGTTCCCAAATTTAATATCATGCTAACTTTATTCCATGATGTAGTTCTAGGATTAAGGTGCTCTCTGGCATGCCTCGAATCCACTCGTCTGTGTTGATGGGTAATTTTCACTTAAGGCTTTATAGAGATTATCCAGTTTTGATGAGAGGCACCGGTCGTGTTCCTTTTTTAAAGTAGTGGTTCTAGGCGTGATCTGCCTCACAGGAGACATTTGGCAAAGTCTGGAGCCATTTTAGATTGTCACAGCTTAGGGGTGGGGACTGCTACTGACATCTAGTGGGAAGAGACCACAGATGCTGCCAAACATCCTGCAGTGCACATCAGCCCCCAACAACAGAGAATTATCCAGTCCAAAATGTCAGTCATGCCAAGACGAGAAGCCCTGCTTTTGGGGAGTGCGGTGTATTATGCTAGAGGGCAGTACTGCGGAGTGGTTCGCAGCATCCTCTTTGGAGCCAGAATGCCTGGATCTGAATCCCAGCTCCACCATATACCACGCTACACCTCCAGCAAGCTCTCTGCACCTCGGTGTCATGTGTAGTGGGAGACGGGATGATTGTTCATCTAAAGTGCTTAGACTGGTGCCTTGCCCATAGAAGGTACTGTGTAGATGTTAGCTCTTATCACGTGTTGCTTTTCTTTGCCTTATTTGCTGTCTTCATCACAGATAAAATACTTCGTACGGATTTTACATTTTCATTTCAGTGTGCAGTGCTTTATAACTAGTTTGCACGATGACTTGTGATCCTTTCTTGTCTGTATGTCCTGCCAGAGGGGAGCAGGGTTGTGAGTACTGTACTGCTTGCGAGAATTTGATTGACTTGTTAACCACTACAATTTCTGATGTTTAGTTTTTGTGATTCTTCCCTATCATTAGCCTTTTTGTTTCATTATTCTTTTGAACCAGGGTGCTAATCCTGATATTTGGTTACAGTGTAGTGCTGGACTGGATTCAAATGAGATGTCCCCACCGGGAGAAAAAGATCAGAGCAGGACTTCTGTTGAGAACATAGCCAACGAGGCGGTGAACCTGCTGTGGAACGTGTGGTGAGATGCTTCCCAGGCAGCCTGCCCGGGCCGCTGCCCTTTCCGCTCCGGAACCCCGGGAGCCCCTCCTCGCTGTACCTGTAACCGTGGTGTTGGTGTTAGCCAGTGGGCGAGTCAGGTGACCTCAGATCAGTCCTCCTCCCAGCTTAGCCCCTGCCCTCATCTCATCACTACATCTTTTCATGCTTTCCAGCTCTTCTCTCCAGTCCTGACCACTGACCAAAGCACGAGGGATCCGGGCCCCTGGCACTTACACCCGCCACCGTCCGAACACCTTAAGCAGCAGCCGTCTTAGCGCTAGCCAGGCCCCGTTGCGGTCGCTGCTTTGGTCTGGCACCAGCAGTGAGCCAGGGACCAAAAGCTCGGCAGGAGCTTCTCTCCTCCACCCTGGCACTGCCCTCCGACGGCAGCAGACGCCCGAGGGAGCTCCTCTGGCCCAGTAGGGAGAGGCCCCGCCTCATTCCGTGACTGTGGCCGCAGTGGGGAGTAAGGAGTACAATAGCACAACCTGGATTGACTTTTTCCTGCCCCATTTTATGTTCTACACTTTTAACAAGACTCTGCCATAGTTTCTTATTTGTAATCCACAGTAATTCTTTTTTTTTAATCCTCACCCGAGGATATTTTTCCATTTATCTTCAGATAGAGTGGGAGGGAGGGCGAGAGAAACATCAACATCAGAGAGACACATCGATCAGTTGCCTCCGCCACAACCCCAACCAGGGCCGTGGACCGACCCAAAACAGGTACATGCCCTTGACCGGAATCGAACCTGCGACTCTTTGGTCTGCGGGCCAACGCTCTAGCCGCTGAGCCAAACAGGCCAGGGCAATCCGCAGTGATTCTTACCTCTGGTCTAAAAGCACAGGTTGGTCTTAGAATACAGTTCAGTTAGCTCTGAAGGGCTGCCGACGTCGCAGTCTAACTTGCCTGTAACTCATTTTAAACTAGTGCGTGCGTTCCACCAGCGAAACCAGAGCGCTCGGGTGCGAGAAGACGGCGTGTGAGCGAGCTGGCAGGTGCACCCCGTAACTCACACTTGCATAATTGTTGAGCTTGGAGATTCTCTAAAAATGTCTTTGGGAAGAGCCTGCAAGTGTGATCTCCATGGTGACCTCTCTCTCGTGAACGTCTTCGAGCCCATCTGTGTCAGTCCCAGTCGTCATAGCGCTGCATCTTTTTGTTTTGTAGTTTATGTTTCGGTTTTTTTCCTTTATTGATTTTTTTTTTTTAGAGAGGGAGGAAGGGAGAGGGAGAAAGAAATGAGTGATGAGAGAGTCCATCGATTGGCCACTATCTTAATGCATGTATGTTTACCTTCCTGACTATACCCCACTTTACTGTGGGCTGCTTGAGGGTAGGCTCAGACAGACGGATAAGATAGATAGTGCTAGATAGGAAGACAGGAATAGTTTATGTTTAGATAGAGGATTGATTTAATAATTTAGTCAGCCATTAGCTATTAATGTGTCATGTATATGTGGTATGTATGGAACAATACTTTGGGAATATGGATATAATTATTTATAGTTAGCTCTGTTTACCCTGTATTTAGTATGTATATTTAGTAATAACAGTAATAACATTAATTCTTACTCTTTTATTAACAGGTTGTATAATTTTAAAAATATTTATTATAGCAATATCTCTTGTAGAGTGTAAATTCTGCTTGTCAAAATTATAATAGCAGTCTAGAGAGAATGAATAATATTTAATTCTACTTTCTTGCCCTGGCTGATTTGGCTCAGCGGTTAGAGTGTCGGCCTGCGGTCCAGAGAGACCCGGGTTCAGTTCCCACTAAGGGCACGTACCTCGGTTGCAGTTTGTCCCCGGCCCTGGTTGGGTTGTGCGGGTGGCAGCCACTCGATGTGTCCCTTTCACATCGATGTTTCTGTCTCTTCTCTCTCCCTCCCACTCTATCTGAGCAAAAAATGGAAAAATGTTTTCTGGTGAGGATTAAAAAAAAAAATTCTTTCTTAAAATTTGTGCTTTAGGGGTAATAAGTACTTGAACTTATTATTACTGTGGTATAGTGGAAAGAACAGTAGGCCAGACCCCAGGAGCCACCGCTAACAAATGTGTGATCTTTGGACAGATCACTTCACCTTTTGGGGCCTTGGTTTCCCCGTCTAGAAGGAAATGATTCCTGAGTGCTTTTCCAACTCTAACCTCCTATATGAAGACTGAGGTGCAGGTAAAGAGATTGGCAAACAGATCCTACTGCAATAGAGAAATAAACACACCGATACCCAGCTGTGTTCATGGACAGTGACTATACGTGGGCATTGGTTTCTTCATCTGTAAAAATGGCAAATGTTTGTCCTGGACGGTTTGGCTCAGCGATTAGAGTGTCAGCCTACGGACCAGAGAGTCCCAGGTTCGGTTCCCGCTAAGGGCGCCTACCTCGGTTGCAGTTTGTCCCTGGCCCCGGTTGGGTTGTGTGGATGGCAGCCAGTCAGTCTGTCTCTCTCACATCAATGTTTCTCTCTCTTCCTCCCTCCCTCCCTCCCACTCTATCCGAAGATGAATGCAAAAAAGTCCTTGGGTGAGGATAAAAAATAAAACAATGGCAGGTGTTTGACTCCAACTCTGGTTCTTTTATAAAGTCTGATTTGTTTTTTTTATGAATTTCTGTGGTTGATTAATGTTAAAATGTGAATAGTAAAACTTTTTTCTCCCCCTTCAATTTAGTGAATGCAGTAGTAGAGCAGTATCTATATTCAACAAAGAAGGGTGTTTGGAGATTGTGATGAAGTTTTTAAGTAGGTTTTCCACCAATGTTGACCTGGCTGTTTCAGTAGGTAAGTGAAGAAAAGGTGATGATTTATGAAGTATGTGTGGCCTTGTTCAAACATTCTTATTCAGACATAGCATGCAGCTTCTACCGGAATGGCTCTTGTTTTCTCGTTTTATATAAATGCATAGCTGGGTTGTATTTGTTCTGAGTCTTTTAAAATCTGTGGTCAGTACTCACGCAGTTTTCCTGCTCTTCACTCGAAAGGGGGAAGGTAGTTATTTGCGCCGCTGTGGTTCTGGCGTGTTACCATTCTTAGAAGCCTCTATCCATTCTCGCACTTTCATGTCCCATTACTGAGAGGCAGTAACCCAGCACCGCCAGGCCCTGGAGCCGAAGGTCACTGGAATCCAGACTATTTAAATGCCTTGCACCACTGTCTTACACTTTTAGCAGACAACGGATAGCCTGGGCTTTCTTTGAGAGACGAAAACAAGTGACTGAAATTTCTGCTTCCCTTCCATGGGATGGGGAGGGACAGTCTGGCAGCTTCCGCTGCCCTGGCTCCGTCCTTCTGTCCAGGGGGTTAGACAGCAGTGGGGTAGGAGACAGAATCCAGAGGGGCGTGGCTCACCGAGCTTGAGGGCAGAGCGGAGAAATGACGAGAAGCACTTCTTTACCCACCACACGCAGGCACCCTCTTGTTTAGCCAGACACCTCTCCTGGCCAGGACGAAGATTTTCCCTTCCTGAGGCGCGTTCCCCTCGGTGGTGCTTCTCTTCTCTTGAAACAGAAAGTGGATAAAAAGTGGGATAAATACTACTGGGAAAATTTTTTAATCATTTTCTTAAAATGGAATCTTTGGCTGAGGGGAGATTTGTGAGTAAATGTGGATTTTTATAAACAGTGCAACTAGGAAATTGGTAGGTGCCTTTTAAAAAAAATTTCTTTCCTTATTGATTTTAAAGAGAGAGGAAGGGAGAGGGAGGGACAGAGAAACATCGATGAGAGAGAACATCGATTGGCCGCCTCCTGCACACCCCCCACTGGGAATTTGGCCCACAACCTGGGCATGTGCCCTGACCGGGAATCGAACTGGCGACCTCTTGGTGCACAGGTCAGCACTCAACCACTGAGCCACATCGGCCAGGCTGGTGGGTGCCTTTTAATCTCAGAGGACAGTTTTTATTACAATAAGCATTTCAGGAAAGTTAATTCATACCTTTTAAAAGAAAAACTTCATGCCTTGGCTGGTTTGGCTCAGCGGTTGGAGCATCGGCCTGCGGTTCAGAGAGACCTGGGTTCGGTTCCCGCTAAGGGCACGTGCCTCGGTTGAGGTTTGTCCTCAGCCCTGGTTGGGTTGTGTGGGTGGCAGCCACTCGATGTGTCCCTTTCACGTCGATATTTTTCTCTCTCTCTCTCCCTCCCACTCTATCTGAACAAAAAATGGAAAAATGTCCTCGGGTAAGGATAAAAAAAAAAGAAGGAAAACTTCACTTCTGTTTTTGTGCCTTTAGTCTTGTTACAGGTTTATTTGTTTTGTTTTAATTCGGGGATGGGGGGGGTGGTAAATGGATCATACCCATCTCTGAATTTGCTTATATTTTTATGTAAAATACTTTTTTCTCAAAGAAGTGCTGCTTTACCAGAAATAACCATGCCTTATAAGGTCATACTGAGTTTAAACCAAGCCAGAATGTCCCAGGCTTGTTATCGGCAACAGAACTGCCCTAGATGTGTGTCCCTGGACTGGTGTTTGATCTGTGGGCGACCAGTTGAGGATGCGCCTTTATTGATGTTTGTAGTAACTCACGTTGTCAGGGCATTTAAGAGCCTTTTTAAAAATTTTTATTTATTTTCTTTATTGGTTTTTAGGAGAGAAGAAGGGAGAGGGAGAGAGAGATGGAAACATTGATGAGAGAGAACATTAGTTGGCCGCCTCCTGCATGCCCCCCACCACCTGGGCATGTGTCCTGACCAGGAATCGAACCAGCGACCTCTTGGTGCAGGGGTCTATGCTCACTCAACCACTGAGCCACACCAGCCAGATTTAAGAGCCTTTTAAATTGTATTTATAAAAGTCTACTTCTGTAAAGAATTAGCAATTAAGACAAAGTCTTTCATAGCGCTGATGGTCTCGGTAGTCCATGACTCCTCTGCATGACCATCCTGAGCATGTTTATCCAACAGGAGCTACCTGGGCCCAAGGAAGTTGTAAAGTTGCTAATGTTTTTTGATGAGCCATTTTGGTGTAAGTGACCCTAGAGAATTCATGGTTTATAAACGTTTCATTTTTGCCTTCGTAGCGTACTGTTTGCAGACAGTAACCGAAGATAACCCAGAGCTACTGAGGTCGTTCAGTGCCTCGGCTTTGCATGTGCTGGAGTCCGCAGCGCTGGGTCCTGGCAGTTCCATGGAGTACACCCTGCTGCGGACCCTGGTGGCAGGTAACACTCAGCCGTGTGTGACGGGGTGCGTCTCAGTAACTTGTGATGGGTAGAGATGGGGGCTGACATTTCTTTTATTCCACCAACCCGGGCCTTCTGTGCTTATGTCTGTTCTGAACATTTTTAATACTGACTTCAAGTGGCTGAGCCCAGTTGGAAAACCTTCTAGGACCCATTTGTTTTCGGAGTAACAAACTCCTGGTGTCTGATGAAATGCTGTTGTCAGAACCACCTCGTTAACCAGGGAGGTCAGAAATGGACCGTGGGCATCCGAGATATGACCACTCACTTCTCTGTAAGGTCTTCACCCCCAGCTCTTTCCCTGCCGAAAATCTTCCTTTTTTAAAAAATTTTTTTTTCTTTATTAATTTTAGAGAGGAAGGGAGAAGGAGAGAGAGGGATAGAAACATCAGAGAGAACATCGATTGGCTGCCTCCTGCATGCCCCCCACTGGGAATTTGGCCCACAACCTGGGCATGTGCCCTGACCGGGAATCGAACCGGCGACCTCTTGCTGCATGGGTCAACACTCATCTAGTGAGCCACACCAGCCGTGCTCTGCACAGCTTTTTGACATTTAATAAATACTGAACTAAAGCGTTGGGATCAAGATTTTTTGAAATTATAGCTGAGCTGACAGAACCAATCTTGTGGAAACTATTTCACAAAAGAATTCACAGGCAGTTCCTTTGTCCGTATGTTCATGTTTCCCCAGGCACAATCTGGAATCTGAAGGACATTATCCCATCAAAGAGTCAAGCAGAGATCATAAATGCCATCCTGAAGATCTTATCCGAAGTTTTGGAAATGGATGCTGGCGAAGTGGTCGTTCAGATGAAGGCGGTGGAAACGCAGCGATTGGAAACAGCTGCAGAGGCCGAGGAGCTGTCAGAGCACGCTAACGGCGGCGGTTTGATCGAAGACGACGAAATGGAAGAAAGTCCTCCTAAGAGAAGAGTCAGAAGGAAAACTTTCATTTCCGATTTGCTTCCAGTAAGTCAGATTGATGCCGTCCAACATGGGAGGTTTTCTTTCTTCAGGTGTTCTAAGTTTTGTAGGAACATGCTAGAGCAAAATTCATTAGAAAGTGAATTTCAGTAAAAATCAGTCCTGTTTTCCCACGAACTCTCGTTATAATATTAGAAATCTACTCCCAAAGGGAAAAAAAATCTCCTGTTTAAAATGAAACTTTTCTGTAGAGAAGATTTCAAAGACGGATAGATCAAACTTTAGAAGCATGTGATCATCTTCCCAGCTGCCATGTCTCCCCAGTTCATTACCCTTTGTCTCCCACACTCTTCCAACTAAAGGAATTTTTACTTTGCTTGAATTGTCTGATCCAGGACATCTCATCTCTTATTTTAGTATTTAGCCTTACAGAGTAGCAGGCCAGACGGTCCTGACCCATCACTGCTGCCGGGAGGAGGTTGGGTGATGGCGAGGATGAACACGGCTGGTAGTTTTGCAGCCTGGGTGTTGGCGACACGCTTGTTCTCGTGAGTGTGATGTTGGGGTGAAGGCGTGCAGTTGTGGGTTGTGGGAAGCATTTCAGTTGGGCCGGGCAGGAGAGGTGGAGCCATGCTTGGAGAAAACGCCCTCAAGGAGAGCAGGTAGTCACGAGGACAGGGAGCCCCGGAGCTTATTTATCCAGGTGCTGACAAAGAAAAGACTCAAGCGGTGTTTCCTGTCTCCAGGGACCGCTTCCACCTTGGAGGAGAGACACGCAGCTATGATTCATTATGAGGCCGGTGCAGGGGCTGGGCACAGGCTTCTAAGGGAGCAGTTTGCAGAGGAGTCGGGAGAGGAAGAGGCTGTCAGAACGCTTCTGGACAGGACACCTGGGCCGCCTGAGAGCTGAGCTGAGAGGCAGCGTGGTGAAAGCGGGCTAGTGTCGTTAGGGCCTGGGGGCAGGAGGCTGCTGAAGTCATTCGGAGGAGGGGGAGGCCCCTCTCACACTTTCTTCAGCTTCAGGCGGGGCCTGTCCTTGTTCGTGATATGCACTGGAACAGAATGGTCTTAAGTCTCTGTCTTAGAGTTCTGGTAAGGCATGCCCAGGAAGAATTTTCTAGATGAGATACACCTGGACATAAATATACCAGTGTGCTGCTTATTGCGTTCACGAAGCTTGCAAAGCGTGGATTTAAAGAAAAGCCGCGTTTCGAACTGCTTTTCCAGCCCCCGCGAATGGCTGTCAGGTGCAAAGCACTGTCAGGTGCCGGGGTGAATGCTGCCCTTGAGGTGCTTGCAAATCATAGCATCTTAAAAATCCTGGCACCCCCCCTTTGGTGCAGGGACACCTTTGAACCCCAAATTTACTCCTTGTCTCACTTGTGTCTCTGTGTCGGAATCGAGTAGAATTTAAAATCAGTGAAGTAAGATAGACAAAGGCACAGCCATGCACCTTGTTCTCCCCTTAGGGTGTTTGTGAAGGGCCCTCGAGACATCTGTTCAGTTGTCACAGGAGGGGCAGGTTCTAGACCTGGGATGGCCGTGGTTTCGTGTCCACACGTGTACCATCGGGGCAGGACAGATTGTCACAGGAGGGGCAGGTTCTAGACCTGGGATGGCCGTGGTTTCGTGTCCACATGTGTACCATCGGGGCAGGACAGATTGTCACAGGAGGGGCAGGTTCTAGACCTGGGATGGCCGTGGTTTCGTGTCCACACGTGTACCATCGGGGCAGGACAGATTGTCACAGGAGGGGTAGGTTCTAGACCTGGGATGGCCGTGGTTTCGTGTCCACACGTGTACCATCGGGGCAGGACAGATTGTCACAGGAGGGGTAGGTTCTAGACCTGGGATGGCCGTGGTTTCGTGTCCACACGTGTACCATCGGGGCAGGACAGATTGTCACAGGAAGGGTAGGTTCTAGACCTGGGATGGCCGTGGTTTCGTGTCCACGCGTGTACCATCGGGGCAGGACAGATTGTCACAGGAAGGGTAGGTTCTAGACCTGGGATGGCCGTGGTTTCGTGTCCACACGTGTACCATCGGGGCAGGACAGATTGTCACAGGAGGGGCAGGTTCTAGACCTGGGATGGCCGTGGTTTCATGTCCACACGTGTACCATCGGGGCAGGACCGATCTGGGCCAGAGCCTGTCCTGCCGCCGCCACACTACACGCACTCTGTCCTGCCGGATGCCCCAGTTCTATCCCGAATTCCTGTCTGAGCAGAGCAGCTAGTTACAGGTGGGCTGTCGGGGACCCTGAGTACCTGGGGCTGGGAGGACAGCACTCCCGAGCTCTTCCCCATCTCCAGCCTTGCTTCCAAGGGGCTCCTAAAGGGACCAAGTGGGGACCCGGCTCCACGTCGCCTGAGATGGTTAGAAAGTATGGATGCCTGCCCTGCAGGTTTGGCTCAGCAGTTTGGCCCGTGGACCAAAGAGTCTCAGGATTGATTCTGGTCAAGGGCACGAACCTTGGTTGCGGTTTGATCCCCGGCCTTGGCTGGGGTCGTGCAGGAGGCATTGTCCTCCCACCCCTCCCACCCCCCATTCTATCTGGAAATCAATGGAAAAATATCCTCAGGTGAGGATTGGGAAGGGAAAAAAAAGTATGGACACTTAACTAGTATTTAGAGATTTACTTCCCTAAGTATTCTTTAAAAATAGAACTTTGGTGCTTATGAAATGCAGTGTTTCGCCCTGGCTGGGGTGCTCCGTGGTTAGAGCATCGGCCCATGCACTGGAGGATCTCAGGTTCGATTCCAGTAAGGGCATGTACCTAGGTTGCAGGTTCAATCCCCAGCCCTGGTCGGGGTGCATGCGGGAGGCAACCAATCCGTGTGCCTCACATCAGTGTTTCTCTCTCTCTCCCCCTCCCTCCCTCCCACTCTCTCTCTAAAAATTAGTGGGAAAAAATCCTCTGGTGAGGATTAGCAAAAAATCAAAATAAAATAAGAGACTTAGAAAAATCTGGACAGCTTAGAAAGACCAAAAGAAAAAAAAAGGCCGCGTTTCCTTATAACAAAAGCTTGCTTTTTAAAGTTTATTAACATAACTGAGTAGAATGGATGATTAACATGCTGGTCAGTCAGCTAGTTAGGTGCCAGTCAGCTGCTGGGCGTCACGCTGACACGTGCCCTGAATACAAAGTCATAGCCGGTCAGCCGGGAGTCCTTGGGAGTCCGAACCCACAATCGCAGCACTTAACCCGAGGAGCTATAATCGCAGATCTGTGAAGAAAGCGGAAGCCCAGTGTGTTTTAACATGTGCAGAAGTAGAGCGCTCTGCCCAGCGTCCACAGTTGTCAGCTGTCAGATCCTCGTCTGCGCTGTGCGTCGGAGCCCCGCCCCCTCTCCCCTCTGCTGCTGAATATTCCGAAGCAGTTCTCAGGTCTATAGCGTTTCCTCTAGATTGGCTTTTTGTGTCAGTTTGATAACAGTGAGAAGCAGCGACATGTTCTGAGCAGGAAAGTTGTATTCAAAAGTGAAACTTAATTGCAGGTACTTCTAAGCCAGATTTGCACACGTTTTAAGTGGGTAAAAGCCCAGCGACAGCCTATCTCATTTATAAATCTTTGTTTAGGTGACTATCGCACACACAGCAAATAGGAATGATTTTTACATTTATTCTTGCCAGCAGTAAAAGGAATACAAATATTAAATTAGCTATATCTCGTAAATTAGCAGTTTGCTTTTTTTCCTCCCCCAAGAACCTGGTTGGAAATTACAGTTACATTGTTGCGCAAGGAAGTTGCTGGAGGATAATAAATGAGTATAAACTTTCTGGAAAGGAAACTGGGACTGTATCACAGGTCTGTAGTTTTTAACTTTGACCTAGTAAATCCAAGAAATAAGATATCCCAGTAATTTGAAAAATTATAGTGCATCCATCATTCACACAATAAAATGCACGTTATTTTTAGATGATGCACTGTCTGGAATATCGGTGTAGCAATCTCGGTTTCCCCAGTTGACCTGCGAAGTAAGCATCGTGACGGCTGAGTTCATGTTCATTTATGTCCAGAGGCAGACATCCCTCCTTTGCTCAGGTCAAAGGCAAGCTTCGCTGCCGGCCTCTGGCAGCCAGGAAGCAAGCCTCCGCTTCCGTCGCGAGCTCTGTGGGGCCTGGAGGCTGCAAGGCGTTCCCGGTGGTGCATCTCCGGAGAAGCCGTCCAGGCATCTGAAGCAGGGTTAGGGTGTCTGCTCGGCGTCTGTGTTCCTCCCAGTGCGCTCAGCTCCTCTTACACCCCGGGTGTTTCAGGGTGAATGCCGTTCGCAAGCCCCGAACGTCTCCGTTCCCTCCAGCTCGCTGAGCAGCACGTGCGGAACAGCTGCCCACGTAGCCGGGAGCCCAGGTGTCTGGTACCCCCCGTGCCAGGAGGGATCCGCTCTTCGTGCCTCCTCTTAGGACTCTTCCAACACGCCCAGCCCGTGTGCTCTGTTCCCCGGGCACAAACGTCTCGGAGGCTTTGACTAAGGAAATTCACAGTGATGTTTTCCCCAGCGCTGAGAGCTGGTTATTTGGTCTTTTTTCCAGCCCACCAACAGGGAGCTGAGAGAGGCCCAGGCGCTGCTGGCGGCTCAGCAGACCGCCCTGGAAATGATCGTCAACATGTGCTGCAGCGAAGGTTCGTCCCAGCCCCTCTCCCCTGGCCTCGGCCGCCCCCGCGAGGGCCCGCTTCACCTCCAGCCTGTGCTCTGCGTCTTCCCAGGTCCCTCCGATGACGATGACGAGTGGGAAGAAGAGCTTTCCAGCGGTGACGAGAGCGAGGCGTTTCTGGAGAGTTCCCTCAGCGAGGGCGGGCAGCTGCTGTCTCCCCTCTGCCTCTCCCATGAGATTCACGCGGCGCTCACCAACTTCCTCATCCCCAGGAAGGTACCGGCTCCCAGCGGGGCTCCCGGGAAGGCCCCTCACTGCAGGAGGCAGTCAGCTCACTCTGGGTAGCTGGGCAGCTAAGCAGAATCAGCGGCCCTGGGAACGGCGAGCGGTATCGCTGGCAGCCTGACCTTCGCACAGAAGGAACACGCGGGGCTTTGTGAAGGGATCCTGCATGAAATGGATTCGCTCCCTAACTGCTGCTTTACTTTCCCAATCTAGGTTTTTGAGAAAACTGCCTTTCCGAACAGCGTTGCCGTGGACATATGTTCTAGGAGCCCCACGTGGAAACCTTTGCTGAGAAAGTAAGAACTTTTCTCTTTCCGCAGCCATTTGTCATTGCTACGTGAAAGGGTGGGCCACTGCGTAGATGCGACCGCCCGAGAGTCACCAGTGCTGTTGCTAGTTGTACACCCTGGAGAACGTGTGCACTGAGACCTGGGGGTGTGCATGGCAGTGGGCTCACAGCTGCTTCCCCCCGCAAACACCCTTGCTGTCCGTCGGCGGCAGAATGGGTAACGGCGCTTTAGCGTAATCCTGCAGTAGAACAGACAGCAAGGAACAGTCTGAGCTAGAACTTCCCCCCACGTGGGTGACACAGATCGGGCAAGAAGGCCGAAGGAATGTGCACACTGATTCCGTTTCTACAAAGTTCAGAAGCAGGTGGCACCAAACCGCTTTGTTTACGGATGCGTGCAAAGGGGTGAACCCATAAGGCAAGGAGCTGTTTACCGTCGGCCTGGAGAGGGCCTTCGGGGTGGGGGGTGGGCTGTGAGGGTGCTAGCAGGGTTCGCTTCTTACCTGGTGCACAGCTGTTTGCTCTAGAAGCTGTTAGACTGCGTGCAGTGAGGTGCTCTCCGCAGGCAGGTCATACTTCACAGTCACAGGCGATCTGGGAGATTCTGTCGTGTGTAGAGAGTTTCCAAAGCCAGTTCCTTTCGATGAACGGTTCACCTCGGAGTCTGTGCCCACTGTGCTCACTGCCACCATCAGTCAGAATCTGCAGCGCGGGTAGCAGCTGACGCTGGGCCCGCTGGGTCCGGTTAGAGAAACAGACAGACTGCATTCTCTCCCTTCCGCTGCAGAATGAACACCGTGCAGTGGCGAGCCCTCGTGTGTCTCCAGAGTCTCGTGTCCCTTCTGGAGGTGGAGGACCTGGGCGGGGCGCCGGCCCTGCAGGCCCTGGCCCAGCACCTGACGTCGCTGCTCTTTTCCCAGCCAGGTGAACGACTCTGCGGCTGCTGGGGGGCAGGGTGGGGCGGAACTCCGGAGGCTGGGCCCTCACTGCACGGCTGTCGCCAGCCTGCAGACCTGCCTGACAGGCCAGTCGTGCACCCACGGCTGCCAGTGAGCAGTGAGAACACTGGCGGGGGGGTCTCCGGGGGGAGGCTCCCTTTTCATTAAAATTGTTTACATCCGGTTGTGTCAGGCCAGTTAGGGCCAAATCACAAATATCTTCAATTTAGGCCTCGTGAATGGAGCTGGCTAATTCTTTATTGTTTTTCTTGAATATAAAGCCACTTGATTTGCATCTGATTGGGTAGCACACACGTCTTACAGAACTCACGTTATTGGGGAACGTGAGGCGGAAAGCGTCCCTCCTTACCACCTCCTGGTTCCTCCCCCAGTTAGTCAGTTCCTGGTTTCTTGCATCTTCTTCCAGAGGGTTCTTGGTGTGAAAGTGCACGGTGTGTTTAAGGCCAGTGGGGGACCACCGTCCGCACCTCGCTCCTCCTAACCATGTCTCTCCTCACACACCTCGGCACAGTAAGAGCTGACTCGTCAGGTGTCTGACATGGATTAATCCCGTTTGTGCATAAAAACCTAGGCAGGTACCATACGTAGGTAACTATTCCTTTTTCTTTGTTTTTTTTTAAATCCTCACCAGAGGACACCTTTGCACTCATCTTCAGATAGAGTGGGAGGGAGAGAGGGAGGAAGAGAGAAACATCGACGCGAGAGAGACACATCAAGTGGCTGCCACCCACACAACCCCAACGGAAGCCGGGGACGAACTACAACTGAGGCGTGTGCCCCTAGCGGGAACGGAACCCAGGACTCTCCAGTCCGCGGGCCGACGCTCTAACCACTGAGCAAAACTGGCCACGGCAACAATTCCCTTTAAGTGACCTGGCTGTGCGAGGTGTAATGCTTGCTTTAACAGTAGCGATATTGAATTCTCTAATTGGGTCCGTCTCTCATTTGCTCTATTACATGGGTTCTGAAACCATTAAGACGGGGGGGACGTGAAAGCTGTTTTTTGTTATAATGGTGATAGCACACACTCTGGGATATATGTTCTGTTCCATATCTGAACACTGAAAATCAGTCTGGAAGGTTCACCTAAATATACTTTGCTGCTTGATGACTTGTGGGTGGGTCATGACCTACATTTGGGCATGCTACAAGTTCTTAGGTACCTCACAACCCTGTTGAGAAGAAAGACAGTTTGGATCACCTCTTCTGTTTAACTTCTTTCAACCTTTATTCAGTGTCTTTGGAAAGTCCGTGTGCATTGGCCGCTTACTGAGGCTTTGTTAGAAAGGCAGAGGGCTTGAAATTCCTTCCCAAACGGGTAAATGACCCGAAAAGTGAATCAAACTAGAACTGCTCAAATAGTTTTCTTAATTTAGGGAAAGTATTAACTACACATAATGTAAAACCATAGTATAGTTTAGGCTTTGAATCTAAAGTAATGGTTATTTGCATAAGAACAGAGGACAGAAAAGGAATGTTGATTCTGAGATGTGTTCTACTTTGTGTTGAGGTAACTGTAGCTCGGCTTGTGCAATTCACGAATTTCTAGGGCTACACTTACAACTTTAATCAAAAGTTGCCCTGGCTGGTTGCTCAGTGCTTAGAGCGTTGGCCCACGGACAAAAGAGCTGTGGGTCTGATTCCGGTCAAGGGCATGTACCTGGGTTGCAGTTTCTATCCCTGGCCCTGGTCAGGGTTGTGCAGGAGGCAACCAATCGATGTCTCTCTCACATCGATGTTTTTCTCTCTCTCTCTCCCCCTTTCTTCCTCCTACTCTGTCTGAAAATCCTGGGAAAATATCCTCGGTTGAGGATTTAAAAAATAAAAATAAATAGGTAGGTAGGTAGATCGATTGATCAATCGGAAGGAAGGAAGGAAGAAAGGGAGGGAGGAAGGGAGGGAGGAAGGAAAGGAAGGAAGGAAGGATGGATATTGTTACCCCATCTTCTGGTGAGGGAGTGAAGATGAGGCGGGCGGATCTGAGGGATGAGGGCGAGCGGAACAGGCAAGGCCACTGTGCTCCCTGCTCACAGAAATCAGAAATCAAGGCGTAATGGGATTCCAGCCACGAAGGGAGAGCTGGTGGGAGGTGATACAGGAGGCAGGTTGGTGTGGAAAGGTTTCTTCGGAGGTAGCAGCCGAGCAGAGACCGAAATGGAGAGGTTGTGCCATGTCAGGCAGGCCTGTGTCCCAGGTCCGTCTGGTCCTGAAGCCGTCCTGCTGCGGGTTCCCCGTGCGTGTGGCGGTCCTCACCCCACCACGTCCTGCTGCGGGTTCCCCGTGCGTGTGGCGGTCCTCACCCCACCGCGTCCTGCTGTCGGTTCCCCACTCGTGTGGCGGTCCTCACCCCACCGCGTCCTGCTGTCGGTTCCCCACGCGTGTGGCGGTCCTCACCCCACCGCGTCCTGCTGTGGGTTCCCCGCGCGTGTGGCGGTCCTCACCCCACCGCGTCCTGCTGCGGGTTCCCCGCGCGTGTGGCGGTCCTCACCCCACCGCGTCCTGCTGTCGGTTCCCCACGCGTGTGGCGGGCCTCACCCCACCGCGTCCTGCTGTCGGTTCCCCACGCGTGTGGCGGGCCTCACCCCACCGCGTCCTGCTGTCGGTTCCCCACGCGTGTGGCGGTCCTCACCCCACCGCGTCCTGCTGCGGGTTCCCCACGCGTGTGGCGGTCCTCACCCCACCGCGTCCTGCTGCGGGTTCCCCGTGCGTGTGGTGGTCCTCACCCCACCGCGTCCTGCTGCGGGTTCCCCGTGCGTGTGGTGGTCCTCACCCCACCGCGTCCTGCTGCGGGTTCCCCGTGCGTGTGGTGGTCCTCACCCCACCGCGTCCTGCTGCGGGTTCCCTGTGCGTGTGGCGGTCCTCACCCCACCGCGTCCTGCTGCGGGTTCCCCGCGCGTGTGGCGGTCCTCACCCCACCACGTCCTGCTGCGGGTTCCCTGTGCGTGTGGCGGTCCTCACCCCACCACGTCCTGCTGCGGGTTCCCTGTGCGTGTGGTGGTCCTCACCCCACCGCGTCCTGCTGCGGGTTCCCTGTGCGTGTGGTGGTCCTCACCCCACCACGTCCTGCTGCGGGTTCCCTGTGCGTGTGGCGGTCCTCACCCCACCGCGTCCTGCTGCGGGTTCCCTGTGCGTGTGGTGGTCCTCACCCCACCACGTCCTGCTGCGGGTTCCCTGTGCGTGTGGCGGTCCTCACCCCACCGCGTCCTGCTGCGGGTTCCCCGTGCGTGTGGCGGTCCTCACCCCACCGCGTCCTGCTGCGGGTTCCCCACGCGTGTGGTGGTCCTCACCCCACCGCGTCCTGCTGCGGGTTCCCCGCACGTGTGGCGGTCCTCACCCCACCGCGTCCTGCTGCGGGTTCCCCGCACGTGTGGCGGTCCTCACCCCACCGCGTCCTGCTGTCGGTTCCCCGCACGTGTGGCGGTCCTCACCCCACCACGTCCTGCTGCGGGTTCCCTGTGCGTGTGGCGGTCCTCACCCCACCACGTCCTGCTGCGGGTTCCCCGCACGTGTGGTGGTCCTCACCCCACCGCGTCCTGCTGCGGGTTCCCCGTGCGTGTGGCGGTCCTCACCCCACCGCGTCCTGCTGCGGGTTCCCCGCACGTGTGGCGGTCCTCACCCCACCACGTCCTGCTGCGGGTTCCCTGTGCGTGTGGCGGTCCTCACCCCACCACGTCCTGCTGCGGGTTCCCTGTGCGTGTGGCGGTCCTCACCCCACCACGTCCTGCTGCGGGTTCCCCGCACGTGTGGCGGTCCTCACCCCACCGCGTCCTGCTGCGGGTTCCCTGTGCGTGTGGCGGTCCTCACCCCACCACGTCCTGCTGCGGGTTCCCCGCACGTGTGGCGGTCCTCACCCCACCACGTCCTGCTGCGGGTTCCCTGTGCGTGTGGCGGTCCTCACCCCACCACGTCCTGCTGCGGGTTTCCCTGTGCGTAGTGGCGGTCCCTCACCCCACCACGTCCTGCTGCGGGTTCCCCGCTAGCCTGTTGGCGGGTCCTCACCCCCACCTGCGTCCTGCTGCGGTTCCCGTGCGGTGTGGCGGTCCTCACCCCACCCACGTCCTCCTGCTGCGGGTTACCCGCACGTGTGGCGGTCCTCACCCCAACCACGTCCTGCTGCGGGTTCCCCGCACGTGTGGGGACGGTCCTCACCCCACCGCGTCCTGCTGCGGGTTCCCCTGTGCGTGTGGCGGTCCTCACCCCACCACGCCTGCTGCGTGTTCCCTGTGCGTGTGCGGTCCCTCACCCCACCACGTCCCTGCTGCGGGTTCCCGGTGCGCTGTGGCGGTCCTACCAACCACGTCCTGCTGCGGGTTCCCCGCACGTGTGGAGGTCTCACCACCGGTCTGCTGCGGGTTCCCGTGCGTGTGGCGGTCCTCACCCCACCGCGTCCTGCTGCGGGTTCCCCGTGCGTGTGGCGTCGCTCACCCCACCGCGTCCTGCTTGCGGGTTCCCCGTGCGTGTGGCGGTCCTCACCCCACCGCGTCCTGCTGCGGTTCCCGTGCGTGTGGCGGTCCTCACCCCACCGCGTCCTGCGGCGGTTTCCCCGTGCGTGTGGCGGTCCTCCCCCACCGGCGTCCTGCTGCGGGTTCCCCGTGCGTGTGGCGGTCTCACCCCACCCCGGTCCTGCTGCGGGTTCCCTGTGCGTGTGGTGGTCCTCACCCCACCGCGTCCTGCTGCGGGTTCCCCGTGCGTGTGGCGGTCCTCACCCCACCGCGTCCTGCTGCGGGTTCCCCGTGCGTGTGGCGGTCCTCACCCCACCGCGTCCTGCTGCGGGTTCCCCGTGCGTGTGGCGGTCCTCACCCCACCACGTCCTGCTGCGGGTTCCCCACACGTGTGGCGGTCCTCACCCCACCACGTCCTGCTGCGGGTTCCCCACGCGTGTGGTGGTCCTCACCCCACCGCGTCCTGCTGCGGGTTCCCTGTGCGTGTGGCGGTCCTCACCCCACCACGTCCTGCTGCGGGTTCCCCGCACGTGTGGCGGTCCTCACCCCACCACGTCCTGCTGCGGGTTCCCCGCACGTGTGGCGGGCCTCACCCCACCGCGTCCTGCTGCGGGTTCCCCGTGCGTGTGGCGGTCCTCACCCCACCGCGTCCTGCTGCGGGTTCCCCACGCGTGTGGTGGTCCTCACCCCACCACGTCCTGCTGCGGGTTCCCCACGCGTGTGGCGGTCCTCACCCCACCACGTCCTGCTGCGGGTTCCCCACGCGTGTGGCGGTCCTCACCCCACCACGTCCTGCTGCGGGTTCCCCGCACGTGTGGCGGTCCTCACCCCACCACGTCCTGCTGCGGGTTCCCCGTGCGTGTGGTGGTCCTCACCCCACCGCGTCCTGCTGCGGGTTCCCCACGCGTGTGGTGGTCCTCACCCCACCGCGTCCTGCTGCGGGTTCCCCACGCGTGTGGGGTCCTCACCCACCGCGTCCTCTGCGGGTTCCCCGTGCGTGTGGCGGTCCTCGCCCCACCGCGTCCTGCTGCGGGTTCCCCGTGCGTGTGGCGGTCCTCACCCCACCGCGTCCTGCTGCGGGTTCCCCTCGCGTGTGGTGGTCCTCACCCCACCTCGTCCTGCTGCGGGTTCCCCGTGCGTGTGGCGGTCCTCGCCCCACCGCGTCCTGCTGCGGTCCCCTGTGCGTGTGGCGGTCCTCACCCCACCGCGTTCCTGCTGCGGGTTCCCTTGCGACTTGTGGCGGTCCTCACCCCACCGCTCCTGCTTGCGGGTTCCCCGTGCGTGTGGCGGTCCTCACCCCACCACGTCCTGCTGTCGGTTCCCCGTGCGTGTGGCGGTCCTCACCCCACCACGTCCTGCTGCGGGTTCCCGTGCGTGTGGCGGTCCTCACCCCCACGGTCTGCTGCGGGTTCCCCTGTGGCGTGTGGCGGTCCTCACCCCACCACGTCCTGCTGCGGGTTCCCTGTGCGTGTGGCGGTCCTCACCCCACCGCGTCCTGCTGCGGGTTCCCTGTGCGTGGCTGGCGGTCCTCACCCACCACGTCCTGCGTGGGTTCCCTGTGCGTGTGGCGGTCCTCACCCCACCGCGTCCTGCTGCGGGTTCCCCGTGCGTGTGGCGGTCCTCACCCCACCGCGTCCTGCTGCGGGTTCCCCGTGCGTGTGGCGGTCCTCACCCCACCGCGTCCTGCTGCGGGTTCCCCGCGCGTGTGGCGGGCCTCACCCCACCGCGTCCTGCTGCGGGTTCCCCGTGCGTGTGGCGGTCCTCACCCCACCACTTCCTGCTGCGGGTTCCCTGTGCGTGTGGCGGTCCTCACCCCACCGCGTCCTGCTGCGGGTTCCCCGCGCGTGTGGCGGTCCTCGCCCCACCGCGTCCTACTGTCCCGATGTGTGTGGCGGTCCTCACCTCACCGCTGTGTGTGGAGAGAGCCAGAGCAGTCACTGTCGCATCACGTTTGTGCACACGTGCTTCACGCTCACGCAGGCTCCCCCATGGCTGCAGGCTCCGCACAGGGCGCAGGCACAGCAGGGCGGCAGCCATGTGTCTGGCTGCACAGCACACACCCCAAAACTTTGTGGCTTAGGACAATAGCCGGGGGTTCTCTCTCAGTTTCTGCAGGTCAGGAAGGTAGAGCCCACGGAGATGGTGTCTCTGTTCCACGGTGTCCAGGCCAGTGGTTCTCAGCTCGGGCACCTCTGCCCACAGGGGACATTTGGCCATGTCTGGAGGCATGTCCTGTTGTTACACCTTGGGGGTGGTGCTGGTACCTAGAGGGTAGAGGTCAGGGATGCTGCAACCAACCGTCCTGTGTGCACAGGGCCCCACACAAGAATGACCTGGCCTAGAGTGTCGGTGTGTGAAGGTGGAACAGCCCCGGCCTGGCCCCCTACTGCACCCCCGTGAAGCCTACTCGCACGTCTGCCGGCCAGAACACCTGCGCGTGACCTCTACACGTGACCTGGGCCTCCTCAGCAGGGTGGCTGGGTGCCCAGGGCACGAGTCAGGCGGAAGTCACCTGGCCTCCTGTGCCCTCGTCTGGCACTTTCTTAAGTTCCGTTGGTTGAGGATGTAGTCACAGAAGCCCCACCCAGACCCCAGGGGAGCAGAAACAGGCCCACATCTTTCTAGAAGTGGCCAGATGCTGGCAACCACGCCAGAGTGCAGGTGCTGTGGGGCTGCTCTGGAAAGTGTGGCCTGCCCCCCAAGTCAGGCCCTTCCCTCCCCAAGGGTCAGGGAGCCAGCGCGCCTGGACGGCCTCACCCCCTGGGGACTGTGTCAGGTCATTGCTGCCTGCGCCGTTCTGTCTGTCCTGTGGGGGCGGAAGGGACAGTAGCAAAGAGTAAAGATGAGCAGGAGTGGAAAGCGGAGGTAGGGCCAGCGGGACGCCATGAGGTGAGGACCACCAAGGAGGTGGGGCTGGCCCTGCACAGGCAGCGGCTCTTGGCTGGGTGGTGGTTTGAGCCGGTGAGGAAGACTCTGACTGGGAAGATGACTCCACCCCAGTCTGCCCAGCCCTGTGACGTGATCTGTGAAAGGCTGAATTTGGCCTGCAGAAGCCAGCTCAGGTTTGTCAGTGTCAGAGCGGGGTCACGAGAACACCCAGCGCCTGGCAGTCGGGCTGTCTGGAACACCCCCTTGTCATGATCATCTCATGTAGCTCTTTCAGGCTCGAGTGCAAGGGTCGCAGGGCCTGTCCACGGAGGTCTGGCTTCCATCCTAGTGTTTTTATGATAATAGCACGTATTAACACGTAACGTGCTCTGTTTTGACTGTCTCCTTTTGTACGAAATCAGTGGTCTTGGAGAAAGACGAGTTCATGTCTCGCTTTGTTGCAGACTTGGCCCAGCAGGCGGACTTCCTGGAGGCCATCAGCAGCGCCTTGAGGGCCCTTTTGCAAACAATGGCCTCCAAGCACATTTCTCAGGTAAGGTGCTGACAGTTTTCATGTGAAATCAGCCAGGAGTGTATTACAGAGGCACATTTGTTACTTCACTGTTTAAGTCCTTGTTTCTGTTACAGTGACACTTGTGGAAAGAAAGCGAGTGTTTGATGTGAAACGTAAAACCTTTTCCTTCTCCCGCCGCTCCACCAACACACAGGTTTTTCCTTGGTGCTGTTTCTCCTCTTTGCAATCCTCACCGAGGAGATTTCTCCATTTATCTCCAGATAGAGTGCGAGGAGGAGGGAGGGAGGGACAAACAGACATCGGTGTGAGAGAGACACATCGATTGGTTGCCTCCCACACGACCCCGACCAGGGCCTGGGACCCAACCGCAACTGAGGTACGTGCCCTTGACCCTAAGACTCTTTGGTCTGTGGGCCAATGCTCTGACCGCTGAGCCAGACCAGCCAGGGCAAGGCACTTCTTACTTGATGTAGGTGTTGTAACTGTCTCTCTGCATGTCCTTTGTTTTCTTAAAAACATGTTATTGCCGATGTTTTCAGGCAGGCCCCCTGACCCTCCACAGCGATCCACCTCGCCTCCGTGCTAGGTGCCTTATCCCTGGAATGTTTACTTCATTTTTTTTTTAATTTGTTTTTTTTTTTATTGATTTTAGAGAGAGAGGAAGGGAGAGGGAGAAAGAGAGAAACATCGATGAGAGAGAACATCGATTGGCCGCCTCCTGCATGCCCCCCACTGGGGATCGCCCCACAACCTGGGCATGTGCCCTGACCAGGAACCGAACTGGCGACCTCTTGGTGCAGGGTCGACGCTCAACCACTGAGCCACACCCGCCGGGCAGGAATTTTTTACTTTCTATTAAGGATGTTTTCAAACATTCCTAAAGCAAAGATAGCAGTGTCTTGTGAGGTCAAGGTGGGGGTGTGATGGGCCTGTGGGTCCCCGTGTCGGCGAGCTGCCCACACCTGTGTTCCTGGTCCATCCCTCTCCCGGCGTGTTTGCATTTGCTTCCCGAAGTACTTCAGCACCATCGTGTATTCCACCCGCAAATACCGTATTATGTCAGTAATAGAAAATGAATTTTTTAAAAACGTAGCCACAGTAGCATTACCCCAAGCCCTCAAATTAACAGGCGTTCCTCAGTTATCATTGATGTGCAGTCTGAGTTCATCTTCCCTCAGTCACCTGCGCCCCCGACCCCCTCCGGGCGCTCCCTGTGCCTCGAAGGTTCTGTGGGCCCTCCTCCTCCTCACTGGTCCTGTCATCGGGGACTCCAGGTGACGTCACTGTCCCGGTGACCTGGCCTCGCAATTCCCGGGCCTCCTGTTCCCCAGCGGCCACGTCGTCCTCCCTCCCCTGGCCTCTCCATGGCTTTGCCTCTAGGTCAGAGCATCTCAGACTCCATCCTGCCCCAGAGCTCACGGGGAAAGTCTGGTGTTTTACTGTTGGCTGTAGCACACACCGTTGGCTTCTCGTATCTGCTCTTTTTTTTGTTTAGATAGAGTGAGAGGGGGAGAGAAAGAGAGAGAGAGAAACATCGACATGAAAGGGACACATCGAGTGGCTGCCACCCACACGACCCAACCGGGGCCGGGGTCAAACTGCAACCGAGGCACGTGCCCTTAGCGGGAACCGAACCCGGGTCTCTCTGGACCGCAGGCCGACGCTCCAACCGCTGAGCCAAACCAGCCAGGGCCTTATCTGCTCTTTAAACGTTCCTTTGTATATTTGACAGTTTTTTTCAAGAACGTAACTGGACTCTTAGCCTCTGTGAAACGGAAGTCGTCCCGATGCCAGGCCTGCTGAGCGGCGATGGGGGGGAGCAGAAAACCTCTACTGTCGGGCTTACAGGAGGAGGAAGGGTTTTCATCGATTTGCCATGGTGTTCAGGCAGTAATTTACTGGGTCAGCCTGATGTTTATAAGAAATTACTCAAAGCTCAGGCTCAGTTAATAATAAGTTATTCATATATAGTAAGGTCATAAATTCTCAGGCTGGCTGTGTATTCAGCATGAGCTTCGAATTTTAGAGCCAGAGGAGCTTGGCTCTCGAACGCTCTGTAAGGAGAGAAAACCGAGGGCACAACTTGCCGAGGGACAGCTGTGGGCCCGACACTGCCCTGCTGCCGGCCGTGCTCACCCTGTGGCTCCTCCGGGGGCCCGGACCGCGGAGCTCGCCAGCGGTGGGGCAGCGCACCGTCTTCACGCCGCCTCGCCCAGCTCTGCGGGCGCCGCGCGGGGTTTCCGGCAGGCTGTCCCTGACTCAGACACGAGTTCGGTACCACATGGCTCGGGACCGTTATACACAACGAGCCCACATCCCGAGCGCGCGACGTGCAGCGTTGAGTCCCCCCAGCCACTCTGATGCGCATCCTCCCCAAGTTGCAGACAGAAACATGGAGGGTTTAGTGGGCTCAGTCACCTATGCTGGGGTGCCAGGTGGTAAACAGTGGGGCTGGGATTCGAGCCCAGGACGTCAGACCCCAGGTCCCAAGCCTTTGCTCCCCACCCTGTGCTGCTTCTCACTGGCAGCAAGACGGCTTCTCACAATACTGTGTCCACACGCGCGTGCAAATCAGCTCACACGGGAGAGGTCACCGCATGGTGAATGGTAGTTTAATGGTGTGCAGTCTCTCATCGTTCACCAAAACACACCTCAGAGTTCTTACCGTGTACGGACTCAGCCGATTTTATTGAAGCCACGTGATCTTACTACACTTCAAACTCCTTCGGTGATCAGTGCTAAAAGGAAATGAGAATCTTTAGTCTGGTACATCTGAACATCATCTTCAGATGACACTAGTGGGAAGTGAAGCCCTTGCAGACTCACAGCGAGGGTGGGTTGTGATGACGGACACCAGCAGGCCTCGCCTCCCCTCAGCTGTGAACATGTGACGGCTTCTGTGCCGAGAACTACGTCCTCGGAACCAGGCAGCCGCTGTGTGGCCCCCTAAATGCTCTCGTGTCCTCTCCCAACAGTGCATGGCCCCGGAGCAGCTGATGACACTGTGCAGAGTGGGCGCTCAGAGTGGCAGCGTTGGAGTGAGAGTGAACGTGGTCGGCATAGCGGGGAGCACGGGCAGCGTCCTCGCCAGAGAAGATGGTACACTTGAAGTCCTTAAGGTGACGCCACCTGCTTCCAGCTGAAGTGTTCAATGAGGGGAACGGGGAAGAGCCCCGTTGGGGTGGGCTTTGACGGACTCCCGTGGACGTCACGGGAAGAGCCCCTGACGAGAAGCTGCTCATCCTGAAGGAGCTCAGCCAGACACCCCCGTGGGCTTGGTCTGACTCCGTGAGCCAGATGGGGACTTGCAAAGCCGAGTCGCATTCTGCCACTTAACTTGACTCCAGAGATTCTTTTTCAGAAGTAGACCCGTCTGCAGTGAAGGGCCTGGCTCAGGGCTGTGGGTGGCCTTGGCCTTCGCTGTGCAGGGTACGGACATGCCCTGTCCTGCCGGCGAAGGAGCCTGCACGCCCGGCCAGCCCGCCGGGAACTCGGCCCTGGTGCTCGGGACAGGGACAGGGTGGCAGTTTCCCACACGGTGCCGATCGCTGCTCCGGTGTTGAGGACCGACAGGAAAGAACCCGACTAGCATACAGTCCTTTTTTTCCTTTATTGTTGAAAGCGTCACAGGTGTCCTCCCTTTTTCCCCATTGACCCCCCTCCCCGCTCCCTCACCCTCCTGCTTTCCCAGACTGTTGTCTGTGTCCGTCAGTTCCTCTTAATCTGCTGAGAATTCTACCATGATGACTGACATCTTTAAGTCCTCGTTTTGAACAGGTGACGTATGCACGTAGCAAAGCCTTTAGAAAAGTAGGAAAGAACATGTAGTGAAAAGACCCGTCTCCACCCCTTAACTTCCAGCCCCTCGGCTCAGGCAGCGCGTTATCCGTCTTCCGCATCGCGCCAGGGGTTCGAGGTTTGCACACACAGTGAGCGAGAGAGGCTGTGTGACCACGGGTGCGTATGCATCACAGACCTGTGTGGTGGGGGGGTCGCTTCCCCCTTAAGACTAGAATTTCCAGGGCCTGCTTCAGGGACAGCAAGTTTCTCTCAGACATAACGTAAGATTTCAAACATGTTTTTATTTAGTCCCACTTCAGGCATGAAGAAAACAAGAGTACAGTGCTCCTGTGTACTCACCAAGCATACTCAGCAGTCAGCAGTGTTCTGTGATACGTGCTTCACGCAGTTTCTTTGCTGGGTGTGTTCACGTGAATTAAAGACGTCGTGGTATTTTGCCCTAATTGGTTTCTATGCATGTCCGAAATAGAGACAGTTTCTTATGTGACCACCATTGTCACACCTTACACAGTAACAGGCATTTCTTAATATGTCTGATACCTGGTAGATACCCAGATTTTTCTAGTTGTTCCAAAAATACCTATTTGGTTTAGACCAGCACCTAAGTGAAATCTGTGTGTCATGTTTGGTCTGTGGTCTAATCCTCTGTTATTCTAGAACATTTCTCCCCAGCACCACGGGCCGCTCACTACCCAGCACCTGTTCCTTAGTCCTGGCCCGATGTCCCACAGGGCAGCCAGCCTCCTGGACCTGTGCGGTGGCTTCGCGTGTGGAGCTCGGTCCCCTCCCTCCGTTTCCTGCAGACTGGCAGTGCACTCTGAGGGCTGGATGAGATGAGGCTTAGATTCAGCTTTTTAATATGATGCTGTGTGCTTCCCATTATGTAGGGTACTGAGTCGAAATACTGCCTTGGAGGTTTTCTGGACACTTACGTTCAGATGAGGAAACTGAGGCCCAGAGGGGTTAACGAACTGTCGAAGGGCCGCCTTGTTACTTACAGTGGAGCTGGAGTTTGGGGTCAGCTTTTCCACTGCGCCGCCCATAACCAGGTGTGCACCCCTCAGACAGGAAGGGGAGGCAGGGCAGCCGAATAAACCGAGTTCACTCCCGAACACCTCTTTGCAGGCTGGAAGGGTCTGTGTGTTAGCGTGCCAGTTGTGAGAAACGGGCGGATATTAAAATCAGCACAGCGAGGCAAAGTGGGATTGTGTTGTGTTCAATTTCTTTAAATTGTCTTTGAGTGTTTTTCATTAAAATTTAAAAGCAGGTTTTTTTGTTACAGATAATATTTCTATGCATCTTGACACCATGAGAAAAGCGTTTTTGAGGGAGATGGGGGAAATTTTAATAATTTCCTAGATCAATCTTTCATACATCATTTATGGACCTTAATTCATTTTATTTAGGAATATAAATTCTAATATGTTTCATTTATCTTGCTTATATTATACTTGGTGTATTTCTAAATCTGTGTTAAGTCTTTAGTCTTTTAAAAGTTTTACTTTTTCCCTGGCATCATCATACCACATGTTGGCATAGACCGCTAGCGGTGCCTCGGAAACTCACCCGAGAACGCTGCTCACCGCGCTGTTTGTTGTCTCCAGACCATCGGCTGCTTTCTGCTGGAGGTCGCCACCAAAGACCCCTCGCTGGTCGTAGCGGGAGAGGCTCTGGACGCCCTGTTCGACGTGTTTGCCGATGGCAGAGAAGCCGAAAGGGCCTCGGTTCAAATTCGTTTGCTGTCTACCCTGAAAGAATTCCAGCCAGTCTTCAAGATGAAGGTATGAGGCGGTTGTGCTTAGAAATCCTTGGGCCTCAACATCCCGTGGCAACGGTGTGTGCAGTCCCCCCAGCCACCTCCGGGGTGCCGTGAGCACTCGGCCCCAGGTCTGTGAGCTGCTGGGCTGAGTCCGAGCTCGGTTACCCCAGAAATTTCAGCCACTGACCTGAGCCAAATGGCGTCCAGCTCGTTCTCCTTTCTGGGAGTTTGGTGATGTCAGCAGTGCTTCTGTGTGAGTGCTACGCTCTGCCTGCAAGCTCTGCATGTCTTAGCTTGATGTGTGTCATGCAGCACGTCACAGGTTGATTTCATGTCTATGCCCTTTGGTGCTCTGAAAAAAGGCAACTCCCGGCTGGTCCGTGGTGGGGTGTACTAGAGAATGTTGCTACTTTCATTAGCTGTTTGACTTACTGTTTCGTCAGAAGCAGCAAAGCTAACTTTGAGTCAAAAAATAATTTTCCAAACATTTTCAAAATAACTTTCAATGTTTCTCCTGCTTTGGTGGCATGGGGGTGGGTGGGCCAGGTGGGGTGACACCAAGGACCTTAAAACAGCCTGAATCACATGCTTCTGCATGTGCTCTTCTCCCATCCAAATCTTACGTTCTTATTGTCGTTTCTCAAAATAAAAATACTTACACTTTTTGCCTTTAGATTTTATTTCATTTTAATTTTTTTATCCTCACCCGAGGACATTTTTGCATTTATCTTCAGATAGAGCAGGGGGGGGGAGAGAGAGAGAGAGAAACATCACTGTGAGAGAGACACATCGAGTGGTCACCAGCCACACAACCCCAACTAGGGCTGGGGATGAACTGCAACGTAGGTACGTGCCCTTAGTGGGAACCGAACCCAGGACTCTCTGGGCCAACACTCTAACCACTGAGCACACTGACCAGGGTTTGCCTTTAGATTTTAAATTCAACATTTGCTTATAAATCTTTGTTAGGAGAGTCCTGGCCGGCTCATTGAGCAATGGTTAGAGCATCAGCCCTCGGACTGAAGAGTCTTATGTTTGATTCCCAGTCAAGGGCACGTACCTGGGTTGCAGGTTCAATCCCCAGCCCTGTCAGGTCCTGTGGAGGCAACCAATAAATGTCTCTCTCACATCAATATTTCTCCTTCTCTCCCCCTCTCTTCCTCCCTCTCCCTCCCTCCCACTATATCTAAAAATCAATGGAAAAATATCCTCAGGTGAGAATTAACCAAGAAAATCTTTGGTAGGAGAATAGAGGTTTTGATGGAAAATTATCTTGTTTGTTGTTGTTTTCCAATATGCATTTCTTTGATCTGACAAGCTTCTCATGCAGAATTCAGGCCTCGTGGAGAGAACTGTGACAAGTTTTAGGTGTATATAATTGTATGTCTAAAAATCTAAATTTTCTGAAAATTTTTTAAGACATAAAAAAATAGTTTTTTTGCCCTGGCCAGTTTGGCTCAGCAGTTGGAGCATCGGCCTGTGGACCAGGGAGTCCCGGGTTCGGTTCCCACTAGGGGCACGTACCAAAAAAAAAAAAAAAAAAGTTTTATTTTCCAGAAGAAAGTAAACTAGAAACCTCGGCCATGCACATTTTCTCCCATTTCATCTACAGGGTGTTGGTTTAAGGATGTTAACATTGGTTTGTTTTCAACGTTAGTTTTGGCATGTTGCATTTAAAGACTTAGGCATAGCCCTGGCCGGTTTGGCTCAGGGGTTACGCAGTGGTTCTCAGCCTTCCTGAGCCGCGGCCCTGTGATGCAGCTCCTGTTGTCTGCGGGCGTATCTCATGTGGGCGACCCGCCTGGAGACATAGAGGAGCGATGTCTCGGTTCCTAAGACCATCGGAAATACGTCTTTTCCTGTGCTCTTAGGCAACCCCTGTGAAAGGGTCGTTCGACCCCCAAAGGGGTTGCGACCTACAGGTTGAGAACCGCTGGTTAGAGCATCAGCCTGTGGACCAGAGTCTCCGGTTCGTTTCCCACTAAGGGCATGTACCTCGGTTGCAGTTTGTCCCCAGCCCCGGTTGGGGTTGTGTGAGCAGCAGCCACTCGATGTGTCTCTCTCACATTGATGTTTCTCTCTCTCTCTTCCTCCCTCTCTCTCTTTTCCTCCCTCTGTCTCTTCTGCTCTATCTGAAGATAAATGCAAAAATGTCCTTGGGTGAGGATTAAAAAAATAATAATAATAAAAATAAATAAAGACGTAGGAATACAGGCTAAACTTTACTGAGTGGAGAACGTCACCGGTAGTGACTTCATACTTGGGGTGGGGGGAACCGAGCAGTTTACTCTGACTCGTGTGTTGTTGAAGCCTGTAGTTGTTTGTTTGGCTTTTGTTTTGTTTGTTATTGAGATATAATTCACATGTGACACTGTCTTCGTTCCCAGGGGACAAGGGAATGATCTGGTGTGCTTAGATATTGTGAAGTGATCACTGTAGTGAGTCTAGTTCATACCCGTCACCTCACAGAGACACAGAATGTTCTCTTGTGAGAAGAACTTTTAGGGTCTACTCTCAGCACCTTTCGAATGTGCAGGACGGTGTTATTAACGTCGCCCCGTGCTGTCGTGACATCCCGGGACTCACCGATCGTGTTGCTGGAAGTCTGTGCCTTTCGACGCCCTTCACCGTCTTGTCCCCCGAAGCTGGTCCGTTTTCTAAGCAGTGAGCGGTCTTCTCCCGCCGCGCCCCGTCCTCGCCGGCGAACTGAGTGGCGAGGCTCGGCCAGCGGCTCTCAGCCTGTGGGTCGCCACCTTTGGGGCCGAACGACCCTTTCACGGGTCGCCTAAGACATAACAGTAGCAAAATTACAGTTATGAAGTAGCAACGAAAATAATTTCGTGGTTGGGGGTCCCCACAATGTGAGGAACTGGATTAAAGGGCCGCGGCCTTAGGGAGGTTGAGAGCCGCTGCAGAGGAAGCAGACAAATGTCCGGTAGCATTTCCCCCTTCATTACCCAGAGGGAGCACAGACAGTCAGTCCTGCACCGTGTGTTTTACTAACACCATCTCCTAGTGAAGTTTCCATACCAGTACAGGGAGAGCACCCCGTTGTCCTGAAGATACAGGCCCTTCAGACTCCTGCAAAAGGGGTCCGCAAGGTGAGCAGAAAATATCCCACTACCCTGCGAGGAGAGCAGACTTCGTTAAACTCGGAATCCATGGCTTGCAGAGGAGGAGTGTAGACAGTGAACTAGGGAAATGACCGCTAACCTCGGGAGGTTGGTTGTTCTGATTGAGTTTCCTACTTAATATGCATCACTATGCCCGGCTGGTGTGGCTCAGTGGTTGAGCGTTGACCCTGCACCAAGAGGTTGCTGGTTTGATTCCTGGTCAGGGCACATGCCCAGGTTGTGGGCCGATCACCGGTGGGGGGCATGCAGGAGGCGGCCAGTCGATGTTCTCTCTCATCGATGTTTCTATCTCCCTCTCCCTTCCTCTCTCTCTAAAATCAATAAAGAAGAAACAAAAACAATATGCATCACTATGGCAGTGATATTTTTTTTTCTTTATTGATTTTTAGAGAGAGAGGAAGGGAGAAGGAGAGAGAGAGAAGCATCAACGAGCAAGAACATCAACTGGCCGCCTCCTGCATGCCCCTCACCGAGAGGATGTGTCCTGACCGGGAATCGAACTGGCGGCTTCTTGGTGCAGGGTCGACGCTCAGCCACCGAGCCACACCAGCTAAGCTGGTTCTCTATTTGAAGCTCCTTTGTGAGCGAGGCTGCAATTGCAATAAAGGCTGTTATTTATCCCTGAACTGCATTTAAACAAAATACAGTGCGTGTTACTACAGAACTTCTCCAGACCAGTGGCTCTCAAAGTGCCCTGGATCAGCACCTGGTGACTCATCTCAAGTCACATGCTCAGGCCTCATTCCTCACCTGCTGAGAAGGGGGAGCTCTCAAAGGGGCCCCCACTCTGCTTTGTAACTAGCTTTCAGATGGCACTGTTGTGCACTGACATGTGAGAACCAAGGCTCTAGACCCCAGGTGAGGGCCGGTCCACATACCGAGTGACAGTTTCTCTTCAAGTCGTCAGTGGAATCGTTCTTGTAAGTGTCATTTAAAAGGTGCACAGGCTTCAGAAAAAGAAACCTACAACAAAACAAAAAGAGCTGACCAAGGCCTGGCCAGGTTGCTCAGTGGGTGGAGCATGGTTCCATACACCAAAAGGTTGCAGATCCCATGCCCATCAGGGCACACATCCGGGTTTCGGGTTCAATCCCCAGGCATGGTATGTAGTAGGGGCAACCAACCAGTGTTTCTCTTTCACATCGATGTTTTTCTCTCTCTCTCCTTCTCCCTTCCTTTTTCTCTAAAAACAATGAAAACATGTCCTTGGGTGAGAATTAAAAAAAAGAAAAATAAAGACAACTGAGTGGAAGAAGATATTTGCAAAGAGTATTTCTGATGAGGGGCTAATATCCAAAATATATAAAGAACTCACGCAACTCAACAACAACAACAAAATTTGATTTAAAAAATGTGGGGAAGACCTGAGTACTTTTCCCAAGGAAGACAGAGAGATGATAGAAAAAGATGCCTAACCTCACTGGCTCTAAGGGAAGTGCAGATCTAAACCACAGTGAGATACCACCTCACACCTGTCAGAATAGCTACTATCGCCCGGCCAGTGTGAGTCAGTGGTTGAGCGTCAACCCTGCATCAGGAGGTCACCAGTTCGATTCCTGGTCAGGGCACATGCCCAGGTTGTGGGCCCGATCCCCAGTGGGGGGCATGCAGGAGGCGCCCAGTTGATGTTCTCTCTCATCAATGCTTCTGTCTCTCTCTCCCTCTCCCTTCCTTTCTCCCTATAATCAATAAAGGAAGGAAAAGCATTTTTATTTTATTTATTTATTTTTTATCCTCACCCGAGGACATTTTTCCATTTTTTGTTCAGATAGAGCAGGAGGGAGAGAAAGGAAGAGAGAGAGAGAGAAACATCGATGTGAAGGGACACATCGAGTGGCTGCCACCCGCACGACCAACCAGGGCCGGGGACAAACTGCAACCGAGGTACGTGCCCTTAGCGGGAACCGAACCTGGGTCTCTCTGTACCGCAGGCCGGCACTCCAACCGCTGAGCCAAACCGGCCAGGGCGGAAAAGCATTTTTAAATAAATAAAATAGAATGGCTACCATCAGTAAGATGAGAGAGAACGTGGGAGATGCTGTGGAGAAAAGGGAACCCTCATACAGTTGGGGGGGATCTAAATTGGTGCAGCCACTTTGGAAAACAATACGGAGTTTTCTAAAAATATTAAGACTACAGGTACCATGTGACCCAGCAATCCTTCTAGGTAGCTACTCCCCAATTTTTGAAAATTTTTATTGAATTTATTGGGGTGACATTAGTTAATAAAAATTATATAGGTTTCAGGTGTGCAATTCTATATGTATCATCTGTATATTGTATTGTGTGTTCACCACCCCACGTCAAGTCTCCCTCCATCACCATTTATCCCCCCTTCCCCCTCTTCTCCCTCCATCCCCCTTTCCCTCTGGTGAGCACCACACTGGTGTCTGTGTCTGTGAGTTATTTGTAAAGATATACAAATACCTTTACATATATCCCCTATGTTCATGGCAGCATTGCTCACAATAGCCAAAACATAGAAAAAACCTAAGTGTCCTTCCCACGGATAATTGGATAACGATGATGTGGCAACATATACACAGTGGAATACTACTCAGCCATAAAAAATGATGAAATATTGTCATTTCTGACAACATGGTTAGGTCTTGAGCATATCATCCTAAGTGAAATAAGTCAGATGAAAAAGGACAGAAATCATATATAATTTCACTCATGTGGGATATAAACCAGAAAACAACAAACTCATAGAGAGAGCCAACAGTGTGGTGATTATCAGAGGAGAAGGGGGTGCAGAGAGGGTAAAAGGGGTTAAATATATGGTGATGGGAGGTGAGTAGACTTTGGGTGGTGAGCATACAATGCATTACACAGATGATATATTACAGAATTGTACACCTGAAACTTATATAATGTTATTAACCAATGTCACCCCAATACATTTAAATTTAAAGGTGCACAATCTTTGTTAACTTATCTTTTTTTTTTTAATCCTCACTCGACATTTTTCCATTTTTTGTTCAGATACAGTGGGAGGAAGAGAGAAACATCGACGTGAAAGGGACACATCGAGTGGTTGTCACCCACACAACCCAACCAGGACCGGGGACAAACCAAAACCAAGGCATGTGCCCTTAGCAGGAACCAATCCTGGGTCTCTCTGGACCTCAGGCTGATGCTCTAACCACTGAGCAAAACTGGCCAGGGCTATTGTTTATATTTTTCTTCTTCTCCTTCAAGAAGACCCTTCAACATTTTATATAATTCTCGTTTGGTGGTGATGAACTCCTGTAGCTTTTTTTTGTCTGGGAAACTTTTTTTTAATCCTCACCTGAGGATATTTTTCCATTTATCTCAGATAGAGTGGGGGCAGAGAGAGAGAAACATCCATGTGAAAGCGACACATATGCTGGTTGCCTCCCACACGATTCCGACCAGGTCTGGGGTCGAATCACAACCAAGATATGTGCCCTTGACCGGATTCGAACCCAAGACTCTTTGGTCCACTGGCCAAGGCACTAACTGCTGAGCCAAACCGGCCAGGGCTCTTGTCTGGTGACTCTTTTTATGTCCATTGATTCTAAGTGATAGCTTTGCAGGATACAGTAATCTTGCTTGTAGGCCCTTGCTTTTCATCATCTCGAATATCTCTCAGAAAGCTTCTTTTGAGAAATCAGCTGACAGTCTTATGGGAGCTCCCTTGTAGGTAACGAACTGCTTTTCTCTTGTTGCTTTTAATATTCTCTCTTTGTCTTTAACCTTTGGCATTTTGATGATGATGTGTCTTTGGGTTCATCTTGTTTGAGACTCTCTGTGCTTCCTGGACTTTTATGTCTGTTTCCTTCACCAAATTAGGGAAGTTTTCTGTCATTATTTTTTCAAATAGGTTTTCAATTTCTTGCTCTCTCTCCTCTGTTTCTGGCACCCCCATGATGCGAATGTTGGCACGCTTGAAGTTGTCCCAGAGGCTCTTTACACTATCCTCATTTTTTTAATTCTTTTTTCTTTTTGCTGTTCTAATTGGATGGTGGTGTTTTTGTTTGTTTGTTTTTGCTTCCTTATATTCCAAATCGATGGTTTGTTTCTTGGCTTTACCTACTCTACTATTGATTCTCTAAATTACTCTGTTTCATTTAGTGCCTCCTTCATTTCTTACTGGTCCTTTTTTATGTCGTCGATGTTCTCACTAAGTTCCCTGAGCAGCCTTATAACCAGTGTTTTGAACTCTGCATCTGATTGATTGCTTATCTCCATTTTGTTTAGTTATTTTCCTGGAGTTTTGTTCTTTTCTTTCATTTGGGACATGTTTCTTTGTCTCCTTTATTGGCTGCTTCCCTGTGTTTGTTTCTATGTATTAGGTAGAGTTGCTATGTCTCCTAGGCTTCCTAGGGTGGACTGTTGTACTAGGTGTTCTGTAGGGTTCGGTGGCACAGCCTCCCTGATCACCCCAAATGGACCCTCGAGGTGCACCCCTAGTGTGGACTGTACACTCTTCTGTTGTAATTGAGTCTTGATTGCTGTTGGCACGTCAATGGGAGGGATTTACTCAGCCTGATCAGCCACAAGGACTGGCTGTGCCCACTGACCTCTGACCACCTTGGAGGATCAGCTGTGCAGGGCCCACCACACAGAGCAAGACTTACTTCAGCAGGGCTCTGGTACCACTGAGTCCGCTCATTGAGTGTGTCCCTTGTGGAGGTGGTTGGCTGGTGGTGTTTCGATGTGGTCTGAAGCTGTCCACTGTGCTGGCTCTGGGGCAAGGTCAGCCTCTGCCTGTGTTCTACCCGGGACCACCCGGCATAAGCTACAAAGTGATCTGCCGATGGCTGCTTCTTGTGCTGGGCTTGGAGGTGCCCAGGAAAAGCCCAGCTGTGAACCAAGGCTGGTTGCTTCTAGTGCCAGGCCTGGGGCCACTTAGCAAGAGGTATGGGGCTCACTGAGACCAGATGCTGCTTGTTTGAGAGAATTTAGGAAACTCTGAAGCAGGAGGCAAAACAGGCCAATCCTATGGTAGAGCCTCCGGAAACAGCTTGGGTGGGACTGAACGTTGGGTGGGTCAGGGCCTTAGGGAATCACCAGGGCAGGGCAAACAGTGTGAGCCAGGTTGCTGGAGTCCCGGGTATGGAGGCTCTCTGCCAGCCCTGTGGGGGAAGGGCTCCCCAAAGGAGCAATGGCCTCCACCAGCCCGTCTGTCCAGGAAAAAGCTGCCTCTCTAGCCTCCTCCCGAGGACAAGCAGCTCAGCTCCTCCCCGTGTGTATCTGGTGCTTTTCAAGCTGCCTCCCCCACAGGAGCCTGGAGGGAGCAGGTCTGAGTAAGTCCTGCTCAGGGCCTTTAAGAGGAGCTGCCTGGGCCCGCCTGTGTGGCTCAGTGGTTGAGTGTCTACCCATGCACTATAAGAGGTCACCAGTTCAATTCCCAGTCAGGGCACATGCCCAGGTTTTGGGCCAAATCCCCAGTGGGAGGCATGCAGGAGGTGGCCAGTTGATGTTCTCTCTCGTCGATGTTTCTCTCTCTCTCAAATAAATAAAGGGGGGAAAGAGGAGCTGCCCGGGATTCCAGCAGCCTCAGTCTCCCTCAGCCTCAGTTCCCGCTGAGTGATGGGGATTCTCTTCCTGGCACTGGAACCCTGAGCTGGGGGGCCTGGTGTGGGACAGGGACCCCTCACTCCTCAGGGAGGACCTTCCCAGCTGAGGTGTCCCCCTGGTTTTTATCCACCACCCTGGGTGTGGGACCAGCCCGTCTGCACCTCCGCCCCTCCTACACCTCCGCCCCTCCTACACCTCCGCCCCTCCTACCAGTCTCGATGTGGCTGCTGCTTTAATTTCCTGGTTGTAGGACTTCCATTCAGCTCGGTGTCAGGCGGTTCTGATGGATGGTTCTGTAGTTTCGTTGTAACTTTGATGTCTAAAGGTGCACAATCTTCATTTATCTTTATGACTCATACTGTATTCCATTTACCTTGGACGTGAAAATGTTTCACCTGAAACAAAATGCTTTCTTTATTTAAAGGAATTAGTAATTTACACCAAATCACATGTGATTGTTCTTTTGGCAGATACGAAAGGAAGGGAGAGGTAAATACAGTCCGGATCAGCTGTGTGTTCTCAACAATGTGAGGATGAACTTGAGAAGGTTTGTTGCTTATCAAGAAACTGTTGAAAAAAGACTGACTACTTGAACCATTGAGAGAGAGGGCCTCTCTTGCCCCAAAGTGCTCACCGCTAAAGGGTTCCCTTTGCCTGTGTGAATTTCCGAAAGCGGTTTTAATCGCCTGTATTCTGTATATTAATTGGACGTTCCTAAGAACTTCGAAACCTGCCTGAAAGCGTCCTTCAACTCTGGGATCCGGGCGGCGTTTCCTGCTCTCTGGATGACGTTCCCTGCACGCTCCTGTCACTGGAACCCGGGAGAGTGGAAACAAAGGAATCTCAGGTTCTTCACTGACTTTTGCAAAAGGAAAATCTCAAGACATCGCTTGGATGCTCTTTTAGGTCAGCATCACTTTATATTAGCTGTATTTTTAACTGAAATTTGAAGACAAGCTTTATACAGTGTTTTTGGTATGAAGTGTGTTAATTATGTTTACCTTTCGTGAAGTGAATGAATTGAATGTGTACGCCACTATTTAGTAGACATGCGAATGAGGTCATTGTCATCCTCTGTAAACAGAGCGTATCAGTTACTGCTTTGTAACCTCATTCCTTATTTAATTTGATATGGAATCAGAATTGGGGGAAAATATTTTTTAATAAATAACTTTTTAATTGAAAGCGTTGTGTCCTATGCGATCTTTTAAAAATACCAGATAGTTCTTTTCCTAGGCGTTTGCCTGCCAGTGCACGTAGCTTTGAATATCTGTGAGATACTAAAAATAAAATGTGCGTCAGGAGTCTCCAGCATTACTCTCAATGTCCTTGAGTTTGTGGAAACTACAGAACATTATTGAGGGAAAGTTCAGAAAACCGAAATGAATGGAGAAGTATACCATGTTCATGGATTGCAAGATGGCTTTTCTTCCCAAAGCAATCTATAAATTCAAGGCAATCCCAGTCAGAACCCTAGCTGGATTTTCTGTAGAAATTGACAAACTGATTCTAAAATTATGTAGAAAAGCAGGGACTTAAAATATCTGAAACAACTTTTAAAAAGAAGTTGGAGGACTCATGCCACCTAATTAAAAACCTAACATAAAGCTATAGTAATTGGGACGGTATGGTTTCCACATAAGGAAAGACATAGAAAAGGTCAATGGAACAAAATCAAGAGTCAAGAAATAGACCCCTAATTATATGGTCAGTGGATTTTCCACTAAGGTGGTTTGTTAATTCAACAGAGAAATAATAGTCTTTTCAATAAAGGGTGCTAAAATAACTTTTAATTTATGTCTTGCCTGAATGGTGTGGCTCAGTGGTTGAGCATCAACCCTGCACCAAGAGGTCGCCAGTTCAATTCCCGGTCAGGGCACATGCCCAGGTTGTGAGCCCGATCCCCAGTGGGGGCCATGCAGGAGGCTGCCAGTTGATGTTCTTTCTTATCAATGTTTCTATCTCTCGCTCTCTCTCCTATCCTCTCTCTCTAAAATCAATAAAATAAAATATATTGCCCTGGCCGGTTTGGCTCAGCGGTTAGAGCGTCGGCCTGCGGTCCTGAGAGACCCGGGTTCGGTTCCCGCTAAGGGCGCGTACCTCGGTTGCAGTTTGTCCCCGGCCCTGGTTGGTTGTGCGGGTGGCAGCCACTCGATGTGTCCCTTTCACGTCGATGTTTCTCTCTCTCTGTTCCTCTCTCTCCCTCCCACTCTACCTGAACAAAAAATGGAAAAATGTCCTCGGGTGAGGATTAAATAAATAAATAAGTAAATAAAATATATTAAAAATAAATAAAATAACTTATGTCTATGTGGAAAAAGACCATGTACTTAAGAGTCAAGGTTTAATGAAATTTGATACTTTGTACTAATTCATCGAGCACATTCTTAAGTGCATCAGCCTGGTTTTCCTGGGAGTGCAGGCCAGGGAAGCACACAGGGACCATTAGTACAGTTTGGGGCCCATCTTGATTCATGCAGACCACCAGCAGTTTTCCCACCAGAGCTTTTGTGCCTGTAGGGCCAGTGTGGGAAGTGACATTTTAGTAACAAATAAAAATTGTGAAAATAGTTCTTACCTTGCGGGCCCCTGTTGAAGGCTCTGTGATGTACTTTGACACCCAGTCCGGACAGGTAAGAGAACAGGAGGTCTGAAACCAAGTCTTGAAGAACCCAGTGCGAGAGGTCTGGCTGGAAGGTGAAGCAGAGAGAGAACACCTGAGAGACAGGAGAGACAGCGGAAGGTCAGAGCACGGAGTGCGGCTGTGGTTCCGAGAAGCGGGTGCGAAATGTCCACTGGTTTATGACGTGGATGTCGCCAGTGACATTAGTAAGCTACTTCCATGGTGTGATAGGGTCGGAAGTCAGATTGGAGGGAGTTGAGTTCGAGAGGTGAGGAGACCAAACTGGTGGTGAAGGGACCAGTGTCCAGAGAAAATTATGAAGGGCAAAGAGACGAGGCAGTAGCTGCCAGAAGGAGCCACAACGGTGAACGTCCTGTAAATGAATAAACGGAGGAGTTGGTGATGCACTGGAGACAGGACAGAGCAGAGGGAAATCCCAAGGTGATCCCGGCTTCCAGATTATGGAATGGACTGAAGAGTGGCCTGTTCGTCCAGGAGGGAGCAAGGCCCCAGTGGAACATACTGCACTTGGAGTTGCAGAGCATTTACCTCGAAAACCTTTTTGTTTCTTAATTTTTTTTTCCCTCTATTGATTTGAAAGAGAGAGGAAGTGAGAGGGAGAGAGAGATAGAAAGATCGATGAGAGAACATCGATCGGTCACCTCCTGCATGCCTCCCACTGGGGTTTGGCCACAACCTGGACATGTGTCCTGACTGGGAATCAAACCGGCAACCTCCTGGTGTACGGGTCGACGCTCAACCACTGAGCCACACCAGCCAGACTACCTAGGAAATCTTCATTTCCTTTTGAAGGAAGTTGGTTTCCCCCCCACTCTAACCTGGAGGCCTGCTTACTGCTTCTGTTGATAACACACACAGTTTCAAGGTCTTGGTTAATGTTTTTTTTTACCTTGTCCATTCTTTGAGTTAAAAATACACTTTAGTTTTACTATTTAACACCAAGAAGATCTTATCTCTTTATATAGTGGAAGATTCTCAAATTTTGCCCTGAGAGAGAAATTTATATCTTTAGTTGAAACTATTTTGGTCCACTTAATCTAACAATTCCTTATGTTAATGAACTGAATTGACTCAAGGTGTTTATTTTTTTTCCTGTGCAGAGTGAGAAACCATGAGCAATTGGTTTCCAGTATGGGCTTAAATGTATTTCTATCCTACCTAATATTATATAGGAATCCTAATTATGAGAACAGAGTTGCCCTAAAATTTAAACATTTTTAGCAATGTATGCCTGTCCATGAAAAAGACAAATTCTTTTTTTTTTTTATGTTCACCTGAGGACAGGAGGGGGAGAGAGAGAGAGAGAAACATCGACGCGAAAGGGACACATCGAGTGGCTGCCTCCCGCAACAACCCCCACCAGGGCCGGGGACAAACTGCAACCGAGGTACGTGCGTGCCCTTAGTGGGAACCGAACCCGGGTCTCTCTGGACCGCAGGCCGATGCTCCAACCGCTGAGCCAAACCGGCCAGGGCAAAGTCAAATCCTTTTTTGAATAAAAGAGCTACTGTCTTCAATTACATTTAGCATGAGTGAAACCAGGAAAAACACTTCCTACGGTCATTTGTAGGAACCAGTTTCCTGAGTTTGTTGAATATAAAGATAATTCAACTTATTCAAGTAAAATAGGCAGAAATGAAATGGTTTTAATGCTACAGAATTCAAGGGACAATAGATGGCGTAGTTTTCAGGGCCAGGCACAGATATGGCAGAGGAATGAGCTCACTAGGCTGTTTCAAATAGTTGAGCCCTTTTTCCTTTTTCCTTTCAAAGATTAGTATACAGAGTCAGGACATGTTTAAAATCATTACATCTTGGCCTGGCCGGTGTGGCTCAGGGTTGAGCGTCGACGCTGCACCAAGAGGTCACCGGTTCGATTCCCGGTCAGGGCACATGCCCAGGTTGTGGGCCCGATCCCCGGTGGGGGGTGTGCAGGAGGCGGCCAATCGATGTTCTCTCTCATTGATGTTTCTGTCTCTCCCTCTCTCTTCCTCTCTCTAAAATTAAAAAAAAAAAAAAAAACTATATCTTGAAAACATTACACACACTAATGAAAAAACTCCACATTCTACAATTACTTTCATGAAAATTTACATGAATTAGTGCATTTCACAATTTGATGCAATAACATGATCAACTACCCCCCAAAATTAAAGCCATATGAGAGATGGAACTTTTCACCTTTGGTCTTGGAATTATGGGTAATGTGCGTTCTGAAAAGGTCAGAAGATGACATTTTCCATTGTTCTATTGGAAAAAGTTATACTTCCTTTCTGTTTTTTAAAGCTGTGTTTAATAACACTGATCATACATGTATATGATAAACAATTAAACAAAGCCAGGAGAGAGGCCTTAACAAGTCTCCCAGTTCCTCTCCCCGAAAGTCCCTGTCCCCGTTCGTGCGCCGGCTCCCAGACGTGCTGTTTGCACCGTGAAGCCCTGACTTGCTTCCCGCCCGCCCGCGCGGTGGACAGGTGCTGCCACCCTCTCCGTACCTTGACAGTGCGGGTTATCACCTCGGATATGTCTATATCAGTAGATGTAGAGCTGTCCCCATTTTTAGCAGCTCCATAGAGTTCCACGCAAGGTTGGAACCCTACTTTAACTAGTGTCCCCCGAGAGAGGGACGCAGCTCCTCGTCCAGGTCTGCAGACCTGACCCTGGACCAGGTCGTCTGCGTTGGAGCCCAGACTCTGCCACCTCCTCTCTGGGTTAGCTTGGACAAGTGACTTCCTTTCCCTGGTAGGATCTCTTATCTGAAAGAGGGAATAATGACATTAGCCACTTACTGGGTTTCGTATTTGCATAACCCAGAACAGTGCCTTAGGCATGTTTAGTGCTGTACAAATGTTCCCCTGCTGGGGCAAAGAGGAAGTGACTCCTCTAGGGCTCCTGGGAACATCTGTGGCTACATCCTAGAACTGGGGTTACGAAAGGGTAAGAAAAATGCATACATATATACACATGCAAAATATACCTCATCCTACCATGTCCCTTTATCAGCGTCTCCCACGGCCTCCCGAAAGCACCCCTCCCTCCAGGTGCTTTGCTTCAGGACCGATCGCCATCTGACCTACACGTTTATTTAGAGCATTATAATTTTAATTCCATAAATTGGCCTAGATTTCTTCTCTTTACCTTTGGAAAGGAAAATAACAACCAGAACCCTGAGAAGCCTCCAGTGTAGCAGGTTTCTTTACTGCTTAACCAGGGCTTCAGCAGGGCCGGGATCTGAGCAGCGTCCTCCCTCCTCCTCTGTCCTCTCCGCCAGTGCTGGAGGCCAGGACGGCACCGAGCAAGTCACCGAGCCTCCTGCCTTCCAGGGGCCTTGCAGGCCCCGCCTGTGAGTCTGTGTAATGAGCCAAGTAGATGCTGGAGGAAAGAGACTGTTCTCGGCACTGAGACGTTTCAGGAAGACACATGGCAGGTGCCGCCCTGCGTGCATGTCCTCCTCCTACCGCGGTGGCGCACGCCAGCCCCGGCGCCCACCTCCGCGTG